GCTTCAGTAGCGTAAATCTGTGCAGAAATATTTTGTCTGTTGGAACCGTCAACCAAATTATAGAGTCCAGTACTTTTCACAAAAATATTGATTGTAGTCTTATAGGCCTAATAGAGATATCTTATCCAGCTTTCTTAATTTCCCTTTCATTTATCAACTTGAAAGTTTTACACGGCCTCATTGTTGCAGTGATACAAACTATTTTAAGCAAAGCATAAAATATCTACTTTGCCCTTTAAATTTCCACTTCAAATATCTGAATTCTTAATCACGAATCTTGTTCTAAATTCCATTTAGATACCTCTTATCCTTTCGATTTGTGTTATAGCCTTCTCTGTATATTTCACTGCCTTTTCAAGACATCCAGTGTGCATTGAGTGGGCAACGGTAACCTGTAAAAAGACAAAGCTGTGAAAATGGAGCTGCAATGTGAAAACTTTGATTCGTCATTATCACTGAAGGCGGATAAAATGCTGTTATGATAAAAAAGACTTTGGAAGGCAATGATTTAGCTCGTGGGTGGTGCATAGTGGAGGTTATTGCGTGATCCATTTTCTGTTAGTGGAAAGTAACGCTTGATACTAAATTGATACTGCCAAAAAACCTTTAGCATTATACAACATGTGTATACTTTCATGTTTCATTTTACAATTCTGCAGTAGGTAAGGTCTTTTTAACCATCAACATGCAATTTCACACTTGCCCTTTAAAATTTCGCTACCACTTCGATTTAGACTCATCAAAGGTCTTTGACTGGACAAATAAACTTGATAAACATGAAATATTATTATATTTCATTATTATTACCATTTGCTTTATGTAAAAAAGAAAATGTATATATATTGGCTAAAACAGAAAAAACAGAATAAATGAAAACTGCATGTCCATGCCTAAAATATGAATGCTTAGGTGAGAAATTCCTTCAAGAGAAAACCGAACCCTAATATCCTAGGGGTAATGAGCACAATGAATGTAGTATTTTTCAATGACGTAATCAGTTCTTACTTGATTTAAACATCAGACGAAAAAGAGACAGTTTCACTATCCTATCTTTTCAGTGACCCTTGCAGAACAGAAATAAAAAACATGCAATTGCTTTTGATAGCAAAACTTTTCAGGGGGAACAAAAGAGCTTCCGGTCGCACCCTTTTAGGATTTGAAGTAGATCTAATATGATTGGGTTTGTCGTCTCTTTTGAAGTTATAATTCTTTTGAATAGGATCTTCAAATATAAGCATTTGGAGATATTCTATAAGAGGTATGCAGAAAATGTGTCAACAACATATGATATGTCAGTAGTAAAGGAATCTAAGGTCGACAGCAGGACAGTAACTACTTCTTTCGCTCATTTACATGAAAACAGGCAAAGAGTATTGTGCTCTTTAGGGAGTTTCACAAAGTTCGAAAAGAAACTTGGACCACAGAAGGCCAAACTCTTGGAGCCCCCTCCCCCCAATAGTTGACAAATGGTCTATATTTCCTTTATAATAGTGTACTGAATGGATGGTAGTACAATCGGCAGCCCACCCCAATATAGGTTTCGTTCCAACGACACTGTTATACGATAACACATCGTGATTTCAAACTGCTAATTCTTGCATTTCCTACTTGGATTTCAAAGCAAACATTAAATTCATAAAACCAGGTGATTGAGGCTTGCACTCTCACTGTTCAACTGTCTTAAATCAGAGCCAGGAAAATTCTTTCGATACAAAAAGTTTAATTGTTTCCAATCTTTGAACAAATCTGCGCTTATGGTCCCTCTGTTAGGCTATTTCGCTCGCCACGCTTCTAGGTATGAAGAAAAACATTTTGGGAAAAGCTGATCATTAAGTGTATCAAGGGATTGTTTGAAATTTCTGAACCCTGGTCAATTTTACTTACGAATAGATTGATAGTCCTAGACTTATCTATCATAAAATCATTTTCCACCCCCATTTTTACGTTTTAACTCCTATTAATGGTTCATCATCTTCAATCAACTGAGAAAACGACTTAGCTCTTGCGGGCAGATTCGCGGGATTCAAAGTGCTGATGTCATAGACAAGCTTTTATTCCCTGGTTTGTTGATCCTACTAAGGTATCCGGGCTTCACGAATACTGAACCACTTACTTTGAAGGCAGCATGCCTAAACAGATTGTAGTTGCAAACATAATCGATAAAAACAACTCATGAAACGCTGAAAACTCAGCAATGTGATTGGTTAAGACAAAAAATGATAGTCACTTTGTTGGAATTGACCAGATTACACACGTTTTTAGAATGCTACTAGCACAAACACACTGCCTTTAACTTCGGATAGAAAGAGAGCGAAACAACTTTTTTTACCAAATAAACAAGAACGCATATTTGGTCCTTTGTCATCCACTGCATTGCTTGAGGGTCGGCGACAGAATGTGCTGCAAAAAGAAACATAATGAGAAATCGAATTCAAATAGCTGCAAGCCATTAAACCGACTTCATGACATTGAACCTCTATTTGGGCCTAAACTCAACACTTTATGCAGAGTAATGGCAGATAAGCCATTCCGCCTCTATGATATCTTATTTACAAATATCAGCTGTAAACTTAAGTTACAAAAATTTTCATTGACAACAGCCTTCACGAAAATACATTAGAACGCAAAAATACCACATTCAAAACCCTTCAGTTTAAATAAGATATGATTCATATGATATTATTCACTGGTACCTTCCTCCCCAGCAACATTTAACAGCTGGACGCTCTGTTGCAACGCCTTCAGACAAGCTTTGCCAGATTTTGGCTAAGACAAAAAGTAGTTAAATTCTTGAGAAAGATTCAGGTTGAGAAATAAAGAAGAATATACAGAAACAAGGAAAATTATTTTCGCTATTAGAAGGGAGTATGTATGTATTTGAATTGGCCTATCTAGCGGCGGTATGAAGACTATGCATATGGTATATCGCGTGTAAAATCATAATTATTTTAATGCTTATATATATTTTGTTCCCCTTTATGAAAATAAAAGTAAGTAACAGCTCCTCGTGCATCAGATCTGCTGTTAAGTGAGGGGACCGCAATTAGCATTGGGAAACCACGAGATCAACGAGAAATTGGAACGTCTGTAAGTGAACAGGGTTACAACCATTCAGCTTGAAAGGCAATGAATGAATGAAAATGAATAAAAACAGAAATTAAAATATGGAAGAATTGAGCTAAATGTATCTCGGCTGAAAAGGAGTCAGCATCTGCTGACGACGTGCGAAAACTTGTTTGTTTACAAATTAGCAAAACAGAGTCAGAAACAGTTCCTTATACTAGTGCTTTAAATATAACCAGGCAACTCAGCTGGAAAAAAGTGTTAGGCACAAAAAACAGTTGCTTTCTGAGCATAAAGAATGGGCAACTCTCCTCAAAAATGCAATTTTGCATAAATGAAACGTGAAATGCTGCAGCAGAAAGACAAATAAGATTTAGAGAAAAAGAGCCTAAAGCAAATAGCAAATAGACTGTTTACCTGCCCAACGAATATAAAGTAGTACGACTTTAGAAGATTCCAAAATACTCGCACTGTTTCTCTTTGGTTTGCCAGTTGTGGTCGAAAATTGTCAACATCTGCATCTGTTGGTCCAATTTGTTGTTCAAATTTATCAGTACTTCTCGTTGCTAACAAATACTAGAATGAAACACATCAAGAATTAAACCAAAGTGTTTTTATGACATAAAATCAATAGGAAGTATCTATAATTACACCTGTAAGACAAGAACAGGGGAAAATTTGGGCAGGGGGATATCTGGGGGGAAGCAGGGATGGTAACGTTTTTTCCATTAAAGATAAACTTTTTCCATTTGCATGCAAGTAAATTTAATTAGTTTTCTCTTTAATTGAGATTTAGATCTATACATATGGTTGCTTCATACAAATGACAAACTAGACTTGCATTGTACTGATAAAATGGAAAAAATTAGAAACCTTCAATATTTATAATGCGTGAATAATGATGTAATACAAAATAATTTCAAACAACATGAATGACTGCTAATTTTACTAATTTATGTCATACCAATTTGACAAACAGAGCTCTTGAATACAGTAACTTTATCAGATCAAGAACTTTACCATTGTGCGGATAATATTGTTAGCAAATAAATTTAGTACAAGAATGAAAATATAATAGTTTGATTGTTAAAAACATGATGTTTCGAGCATGTACTTGTTATCGAGGTTTTGATACTATATTATAACTATAACTATATTATTGTTATTCTGGATGAAGTACCACACGCAACATACATATTTACCATTCTGCCTTTTCAAATATTCTTCTTTAAATAGATAAATTTATAACAAACATATAAGTGACAGAAAATTACCATTAATTTGCTGAGTTTGAACAAGAACCTGAAATTGTTAACAGACTTGATTAAAGGTTATAAAAATTAGACAAAATACTGATGAATGGGTATTTCCTTGAAAACTAATAGGGAGATGGCATCAATGTCTCCTTTTTAATGGATGTTTCCAGTGAACAAGTACCTAAAGCATTTTGACAAACATGACAACATGCTTTGACTTATAGAACAGGGTGGTTCTAAGGAAATTTGCTCTACATATAGGACATCAAGAACTATATGACAAATTGGTAAAACAGTAATATCCATAAATAAAAAAAAACTACTTTGGGAGCTATGGTCTTTTCTCTAACAACATTGCATCTAGCTGTCTTTGTGTACATCTTCAAGCAATCACCACCAAAACATATATCATTATATTATTTGGCAAGATATCAATTATTATTAACCAATACTAGGAAGTCTTTTTGACAAATTCAATTAAAAATGTACACTTAACTGACAAACAAATGACACTACAAGATTATAATGTAAGGTGTTTGAAAATGCATTGCAACCTGGCAATACTAGGAATGACTAAACACAGAAAAGAAGAGAAATACATACTTGATGTAGATATGACCATGCTGTTCTGCTGTTTGTTCTCCAATTGCAGACAAAAGTTCAATTGCTATACTGAACTCTCTGTCATCTGCATGAATTTCCTACAAAAAGTTTCAACAGTGCTAGGAATCAAAGCAGGATGATGGAGGAAATTACTCTCAACCCAAACAATCTTATTGATTTAAATGAAGCTTCTCATCTGACAACCTTCAGAGTATAAAAAATCAAAAAATAGACCTTTTGTTAGATAGATATATTTTTAAACTATATTTTGACACATTTTATTCTGAAGGCAAAAATTTTAGTAAGTTCCAAAGTTTTTAACTTCTTCAAAACCATTCTTAACGATTAAACAAAAAACAATTAAAAAATACATTTTGACAAAAAATTCTTCATTTGTTGCCAATAAATAAAGTAAATTTTCTGATTCCGAATGTGAGGTATAATGAGAAATTAACTTACAGCTAATTTGAATATCAATTTATAATGCCAAAGATAAAACTTTGATTGCGCTGATCGCTCTAAGGCACTTCTTAAGATGTTCTTTGCTAAACTTGTTTGGTTCTGAGGGATAAAAAGAATGGATTTAATAGGGAACATAGTTGGAATGAGAAAAAGAATGTATTGGAATATGAAAATGTGATTTGGCATAAATGCAACTGGCTTCTATAGTTTTTACAAGATGCAATTTAGGAGGTTGTCATAAGAATTGAAAAATATGACTCAAATTAACAAACGGGTACTTTAGAGAGTGGGTGTACATGTTGAGAAATGAAACAGTGATTAGCATTCTTATTATTCTTCAATATTCTACATAACAAAAAAATTGATAACGAAAAAGTAGCATTTTCACTTTAATTGAGTCAGTAAATTGAATCTAACTTTAAGTAAATTCAATTTGTAAGCTTGTCATCATCAGTGACTGATTTTCAAAATTAGGAGTATCATGATTTTCTGTGAGCCTAACAGACAGGAGACTTTAACGACAACAAGGAGGCAAACAGAGCACACAAAACATTAGATTGTTCAGAATACTACAAAAAAAATTATAATTTAAATTATATTTTTTATCATTGTTTTGGTCTGATAAAAGACTTCACATGTACATCTAGAAAACTAAAATTCAGAATTGTACCCACCTGTTCACTACAAAATCTTGCAAGGAGATTTGCACTCTCAAAAAACACCTTATCAGCTTCTGGTCCAAAAAGCTTGATAAAAGTTAAGACTAAGACACAGTCATCAGGTTATATCTTATCAAAGTATCTAGATACCTTTGACTGCAAAAGATTTTTATCAGAAAGCTTGTCTCCATGTGACCATAGCATTAAAGCCATGCTGGGCCTACAAATTAAACTAATATACCAATATTCTAAAATTATTTTTACTCAGGTAAAGACCGTGGAAGTGTTAATTACAGAAAATGTTTGCCAAGTGGATATGAAAACTTTTCTTACCCTATAGAGGGAGATTGGGGTTTGAAAAAGACTTTTAGTGCTGAAAGTTTTGATAGTTGGAATGGTTGGCAAAAATTGAGAGTGGAACAAAAAATTAAATAGAAAAATTCTTTGTTAGACAACAACAGATTAAATTCCTATAAAGAATTTCATTGTCAAACATGGAAGGCTTAAGGGAAAACACATTATTGAAATCAATTTGTGACATTTTTTTTTTCTTTCAACAAAATTACCAACTATAGAAGTGTCAATATTTCTGCAAAATTCATATAAACTTTGAAATTACTTGCAATTTTCAATAATCAAATTCAAAAAGGGGGTGCTCTCTCCTCAATTAGCTTAGCTACTGAGAGAGCACCTCCTCAAGAATTCCCTGAACACAATTCCCCTTTTATCAAAAATCAGTTTAATTTAGAATCTAATGTTTTTCCAAGTGTAGTACTCTTTGTTACAATTAGTTAGATTTGTATATAAGTTAAATTCTTGTCTCTTTTGTATTAGGTATATCTGTCTTGTTTGTATTTTTGAAATTGTATGTAGTGAAATTTTAAATTATGAACTGAAACTGAGACATTACATTCAAACACAAGGGAGGATCATAATATGATTGATAGTGCATGCTTTTTAAATATTAAATACCAAATTTTTAAATATGGAGTACCATTATTATGGATAATTGAATGATGCAGAAAAATACCTCATGCACCCTAGAAATACAAGAACCTTTTGATTTTAGAAATTTTGTGAAAGTATGAAAAAGGATACACATTGAGATACTTGAAGCTAAGGAAAATAACAAACGAAAATTCAGCCAATTAGAAAACAAAAATTTTATAATACTAAAAAAGATGGGAGAAAATACAACTACAAATTTATTCAATACCGTTAAGAAGAGTTACAAGGCTCTTCCGTGACATGGAAATCTCACGGAAGTCCAAATTTCAAACAAGAATAATAACTGATGCGACGAAAGCAACACATCCTCAGTACTACACTCAATAATACGCTGATCGTTCTGTGAAAGCTGAAATTCCCTTTCATATTGAATCATTCATACAATAGGTCAGATCTAGTGAACATAGCTCCGTTTAAACAACACTCACCGCTTGTTGTAAATGACTCCGTGCATGGCCTAAATTATTTGTTTCTTCTAAGAGAAGCTTGCCGATGTTTAACCTTACTTTCGCATCTAGGATGGCGGGTAGTCCTATGTTTAAACTGGCCTGTAAGCAGTGTATACATTCTCTTACTCTCGGTGGATGACATGTCCTAAAATATTCGGCGAGACCAACTAATGCAGTGTAACATTTCACATCGAAGCCTTGTTGTGCAGCCATTTAATTCGATTTGGTTCGTGCCCCTCCTTCGCAGCAACTTATAACGGTGGAAAGCAAGCGGAGCCCCTCGAATGAAAAAAGCCCCCCCCCCCCCCTCTGGAGAATAAGCTCCCAGATAAAGAAAATTGTGTTTTAAACAGTAGCAGACTTAAGGGGGCAACAAGGGGTAGTTGCCCCTCCCTTGACAAGTTGAAGCAAGTCTGGCGCCCCTTTTTGGAAATTGTGCGCCCCTTTTGAAGAATGAGAATCAGGTGAAAAAGTTTTTGAGACCGATAGGTTAATTTGCTTCAAGATGTTGTTTATTCTGAAAATGGATCTGAAATTATTGTATACAGCGGACTCTCGTCACCAATTTTTGAAAATTTTTCAGCGCCCCAACTACCAACTGCCCCTCCTTCATATTTGCTCTGGATCCGCCCCTGTATGGAAATATGCTAATTCTAATACAATCTAATAGGCTGGCCTTCTTTGATTCCCTGCTGATTGTTTCCATGAAACGGTTCATTCTTCATTTAGAACAACCCAGGAATTTTGGCAAAGACACTTTTAGCTGCTTAATTGCAGTTAAACAGTATTCGAAAATAACGCTCATTCGCACTTTCTACAAAACAGGTATGCCGTGGCATAGCTTGACCTTCCCGACTACGGGGGTTGAGGGTCTTGAGTATGAGCAATTTAGGTGCTACCGATAGCTGATTTTACCAACAAACCAGCTATTTCTGCACCAACTGAAGATTTACGGACCATCTCGTTAAAAGTTGGGGGTATCACACCCCTACACCCCCGCAAGCTACGCCCCTAAAGGTGTGGCAAGAGCTCAATTAGAATTTTCAAATTCTTTTGACCCCCTTCCTGGCCTTTTTATTATGCTATTCTCCAAAGTGCATTTTTTAAGAAGTTTCTCCCAAAATGCTGATATCAAAATTTGGTGACTTCGTGACCAATGCATGATAACAATTGTTACAAAATATAAAAAATGATGCTAAAAAGTGCTTAAAAGGTATGAATCACAATATTTTCTGTGAATCGTAATTTTATGCTGTTGTCTCTAGACCTTAAGTAGTCTCTTTGCAAGTCTACAAAGCAATAGACATAAGAAATGGTCTGCTATGACAACTCAAATTTTGCAGTTTAAAAACAGGAATGATAACAAATGAATGCAACCTCAATTATCATTAATATTGAAATAAGAAACAGGGCTAACAATTGTAGCTATTTTATACTGATAAAATTTAATTCCATTTATATAAATATATTTCCAATGAATGGTGTTTATAAATTTGAATGAAAATTTGACAACATTTACAACTGTTACAAAGGTACTAAATTTCCCATCAGAAAACCTACATTACAAAATTATTCATAAAGTCGAATCTATTTGCAAATACAAATACCCTCAAAAATTTCACAATATGTATTTATACATATAGGTCTGATTTTCTTACACTGCTTTAGCTATGATGCCATGAAAATTATTTGCAAGACAATACAATACAAGTAGAGATGAAAGTTCTATACAAAAGTCAATCCAGTGATGGAAAGCTATAAAATACAAGAATCAAATAAAAGATTCTTTGTAATCATAACTACTTAGAGTCTATTGCACATTTCAATTTGAAAAAACAGTTTTTTGGGACAAACTTTTACACTTTCAAACTAAAAAATATCTCCATGAACAGCATCAGCAAACATCAATCTCTTCATGTAACCCAATTAACAAATCAAAGGTGAGTGTATTTTATTCCTTCATACAATTTCAAATTTTCTAAAATTTGAAACCCACAATGCTCTGAATATCAAGACTGGATATCAATAATATGACCGAATAGTAGACAAAATTGACTGAATAACAATATTTTCAAAAATTTTGGTAGATATGTTACAAAAACGTGAAGCCAAAGATTGGAATAGTGAAGATTTGAGCTGATGAAATGTTGATATATGTAATCACTATAAGAATAAGCTACAATGCTTTTCAGTGTTCCTTAGGAGCAAACATGATGAAGGTAACCATAAAATTCACATATTCAAAGAAGCCTAAGGAAAGGCTTCCTCATTTAATTTGGTCACCCTCTTGACAAAGTTTGCCAAAAATCCTCATTCGGATCCAACTTTTCCAAAGAATGCAATAATCTAACAATGACTAAACCATTATTGATTTATATTTGGATGTATATATCTGTTTGTTTGTGAGTAGTGGTGTAACTGTGTGTAACTTGACATGAGCATACAACAAACATATACATCAATTATCACAAAGTTCCATAATTGCGTTGGTAATTATTACAGCAGTAAATTCTTTTCTTGCGTGATAAAACCATAAGCACATCTTTACTGCAACAATAGGAGTTCAAAACAGAACTTCTGCTTTGTATTGGCCACAAATGCATGATTTTGCAACTGAAATGCTAGGTACTTGAATGGGATCTCTGTTGGTATAAAGGTCACTGCACATAAAGGTCACTGCTTTTTTTATAAGTTGACCAGTGCTGACTGTCATATCTGTCCAAATTTTGGTTCATATCTCAGCCCCTTGGTTCTGCAAGCAGGGATTTTTCATACAAATCATCTTCAAAGTCTTCATGATCGACATCTACATGTGTTGCAAGCAGGTACAAGGCCATCTGTGGAAAAAATACAAAACATCACTAAATATATATGCAATGGTAGACATAGGGGTTTACTGGGTTGGTTAATGGCTGAGTCAATATTTGGGTGCCTCTAAGTGGCTTTGGGTGGCAGCCAGGTTAAACTTGGACATCTTGGGCATCTCAGACTTCAAGAACCAGATTGTCAGAGTTACCCAGGTCTGAGCTTGTAAATCAGCCCTATGCTCAAACTCCAAATCATGGACTTCTAAGACCAAATGTTTTGACTTTTCGTTTCTCGAAATTGTGAAATTTCTTTATTCAAATCCAGACATGCATCTCACTATCATTATTGTTTATTTTGATCTCTTTTAGGGGAAATCGATTATTTCCTTAATTAACAGGGAAAGTAGGCCTGTTATAGATCTAGGGGGTGATTGCCCAGCTAGCTGGTGTGCTAAAGAAGACTCTAATATCGACATCATTTGCAGATGGACAATTGTGGAAGGGTCTATTTGAATATTTACACAAAATTATCGCCAACAAATTAAGAAACTCCAATTTTGAGAAATCAACTTTGATTAAATAATTAAGGAAATTCTGAAAGTATTTTCATTTTTTCTCACTTTGAGAAGAAAATCTTAATTAAGAAGATTCAGAGAAGAATAATTCAAAAACAAATAAATTAAGCTAACTTACATCTTTCTCAAAGTCTAATGTGTACCGTAGCTGCTGATATTGTCGTATCTCCCTTATGGCCCTTGCAATCTAAGACAGAATACATATACTTTGCATTTTGAACAAGATAGCTTCTTAATTGTTTGTGATTTTTAAATTACAACAACAGATCTTCAGTCAAACAATTTAAACTCATCAACGTAGCACGGATATTAGAGATTTATCTTCCGTATACTAAAACCAAATTTTTCTGGCACAAAAAGCATGGAGCAAAAATGCACCAACAATAGTCCTAGGCAGCCAATTGTTTATGGTTCTATTCACCCTTGCAAAAAGCATTTAAATTAAGACAAGCAGATCAATGTCGGCATCTGATGTAAATACTATTATGAAAAAAGGTGTAAAAAAATTACTCTCTGAAATTTATAATACCTTAGACATTTTCCCATAATTTATCAGGCCTGCTTCATTTGTGTTCTTTGATCTTTCATCCATGTAAAGTAGATCTGTCAGGTAGAAGCCAATGAAGGGTACGCATGGTGGATTGCAGCTACAAAAAATCAATTGACCTTATAAAACTTTTCTCGACTTTTGTGTTTTCATTGGGTATAAATTTGTGCCTTTCTTTTTGAACATATTATCATAGAAAACCGTTAAACCTGAAACAAAAGTAATACAGACAATTGTTGACACACTAGAGCTTTAACCTTACCACAACCCGTCTGCCGTCTGTAAAAAGAGAGCAGCAAAAAAATAATGAATATTGCTATTTGACCAGTAAATATGAATATACTTCTAAACAGAAAAATATTTCAGTAAGGGTTTTGAATTTAAGGTCTAAATCTATGATGGTGAACATACTTGTGGATGGTCTCCCGCAATTTGGCAAAGCAATTATCAGCAGACACCAGATTTTGCAGGTCATTCAAGATCTCTTTGAGCTGCCAAAAAAGATCAATATTGTATTGGAAAAGCGACAGCTTTTGTAAAAGGAAAATTTTTTTTGAGTTGATACTCACGATAGGATCAAAAAAAGAAAATTAAATTCAAGCTTTAAATTTTTTCTCAATACACTAAAGCTTCTTTCTCTCTGTAGCAACGTGAAACAACAAATACAATGAATGCATATTGCTAAGCAGGGGAAAGACATTGCAAGTTGTTGTTAGCAAAGGTATGTTGCATGTGAGGGTTGAAAACAGAACTTAGGTTGTGCCTTTGCTACTTCGTTTCAAAAGTTTTATAACTGTGATACATCTAAATTCCAAAAGAGGGCTCAAGTAAAATAGGACATGATGCCCTCAATCACAAGGTTGGAAAAATGGTCAAATAAAGGAGGGTGCAAGCCAAATAAGGACCTTTTGTCACCTTATTTGGATAATTTTTATAACAGTGACTAGTCTTACTAACAAAGATAGGTTTGGGAAAATGTAACATGATGCCCTCAAAACACGAGATCAGAAAAATAACCAAAAACAGGAGGATGCTGGCTAAAACAAAAAAAATTTATAAAATCGAAAATTTCCTGTCCTTCTGATGCTTAAAAACAAGACATGGCTATTTACAAATAGATTATCCGAATTCCACAAAAATAAAAAAAGTGTATCAGATCCTTTGGAGGGCAATGATCTTTAGAATAAGATTTAGTGAAAAATTTTCTTCTTCTTTTGTTGTTGAACAATGGAATCAAAATAGCACAAAACGCTAAAACCAAAAAATAATTTTGATAATGAAACTCACTTGTCGGTTCACAAGCTCCCAAGATCTCTTCAGTCTATAAACAGAGCTTTTCATGAGCCCACTGGTTATTTGGAGTACTGAATTGAAATTGTTCAGGTCTCGGCATCTTGCTGCAACTGTTATCCAAAAACCTATTCTTTGTGCTCGTAGCTCAAGAGTTTCCCCATTGATGACTTCAGTGGCTACCATTCCTGATACCTGAAATATTATTGTCTCCAATATAATCAAAGGAATTTATCTCATGAAAAGTGAAAAGGGAGCTATCTATATACAACATGATAAAACAGAGAGGTTTATTATCTCCTTTGACAAGCAGAATATATTTCAAAACAACAAAATCTGTGACCCTGGTTAAAAATTGGATAAAAAAGAATGGGATGAAAAAGCTCTCAAAATAAAATCAAATTAAATAAACTGCATATGTGCTCTAATACTAAATGCTTTGAAAGGAAGCTGCACTCAATTGGTTTTTTTCAAAATCTTACATCATAATAAGGTCAGCTTATTTGAGAGGGAGAGCATAGTCTAGTAGGGGCTTAATTAAAATATTACAGCATGTTGCATGTTGTATGTTTGTGACTGGAAATCTTTAGAGGATATATTAGATATATCAGAGCTACAGATTCATTGAAAAGAGTAATTGTGTATTGATATTTCTAAAATTGCTGCCAAGAAGTCAAAGCTGCTTCATATAAACTACTGCATGAAGTCAAAGCTGAATCAGTTTCCTCTGACACATCAACAAAAGTTTTTGTAAAATGAAGGGGATCATTGGAGACAAATGGCAAATCATCTAAGCAATAATGGGCTACAATTGTTTGTAGATACCTGGTTAAATCTTCGACTTATTTTTGTGATATATGGTGCCGTTGTTTCTTTATCTTTCTTTGTCCAAGTACATTTCATAAACTCTCTGTCAAAAAGATCAATTTTGTCAAAGAAAAGTTCACCTTGTCTATAAGAGGATAGTAAAAGAAATCTGACAAAGTATTATGTTGCAAAAAATGCTATAAACTACACCAAATGCCCCTGAAAAACTAAAAACTTAAAGCAGTTTGGAAAGATTTCAAAAGATCTAATACAAATTTCTTTGATTCAAATTTTTCAACGTGCTAAAAAATCCTAAATCTTTTCCAAAGAAAATATTTGCCAGAAAGAAATTAATAAGGCTGCAAAATTCAAGTTAAACAATTCAAATCTTATGCAATAAAAGCCAAATTATAAAAAATTAATCATAGCCAGACTATTTTCTATATGTTACTCAAGTGATTTCTTAAAGATTTGGTGACCTACTAGAAATTAATGAGACTCTAATAGAGAGAAACGTGGGACTATTGTTTAAAAACATTGGCAAACATATAAAACATAGAAAAATAGATAAAAGGATGCACCAAGCACAATGTTATTCCTTGAACATTTAATACAGGAGTGTCCAACTAATTCATTTCAGTGGGCCATAGGCAAAATCTTACTGCAAAGACAGGCCAGATGAATGATTATGTAAATCGTTATAATGAATCATACAACACTTTAGCTAGGACCAAATGATTAAAAACTTCTTGACTTAGCATGGGCCACAGAATATGCGCTTTGATGTCCACATCTTGCCCATGGGCCGTATGTTGGACACTCTTGTTTTACTCAAACAAATGACATTGGGGTAACCCTTTTTTAGGTAGTTTAACTAACTTTGCATGTTTCGGGGGTAGATGATGAAATATCTAAAATACAGCTGTTAATCCTAATTTATACTGAAATTGCTTGTTGTTTCACATCTTGTGATATTCTGGAATTTTTTCCCAAATACTACTGGTTTTGCCTCCTTTCCCTTGAACAATTGACAGTTCAGGCAGAAATCATACTTTTAAGTCACACAAAAAACGTCCTTCCTAATCTCCTACCTTGTTTTATAGGAAACCAACACTTTTCTGAGGGGGAGAGGGGGATGGCTGAAATTGCCCTTGAAAAATGATGTTAGCCATCAATTTTAATGGTCTTACTTTACTTGTTTTTCTCACAAATCTGACGTTTCAAATGATAAAAATCCAAGGGGCCCACATGAAAAGTTTTAAGGGGCCTACCGGGAAATTTCCTGAGTCCCAGCAGGTAACCACGCCTTGGCTTGTAATGCAAATAATTACGAAGTTACAGTTCAAAATGGTATGGAAAATTGAAGTAATCAGTTTCTAGAATCACCTGCTTAGTAGGGTGAATTATGATGGGACATACCTCGTTGAAATTTTGCTATAAAGATGGTGCTCGACTAAAGACAAGCAATTCGCGATTCGACTTGCTGTCCAATTAGGAGGGAATTCTGATACCACTATATTGACAGGCTCCTCGCTCTGCAAAACTTCTTCAATTGAATTAGGCACTGCTTGTCGATGAGTCTCCATTAACCTGAAGTTTAAAAAAAGTCATCATTAATACGAAAGAGAATAACTGTAAAATCCTGCACTCAAGAAATGTCCTGGTTTATTAGGAACAAACAGCCAAGGAATGAATTTGTACCTAATACATGTGAGCTATAAACTTAATAATGAATTTTATTCATCATTGGGCTCATTAACATATTGAGACGGTAGGTTAAGACACAAAAGTTTAAAGAAAAAAACTGGGCATATGTTCCACTATCCTTTGCTTCAGGCATCTGCAAATGACCTTATATTAAGCATATGCACCATGGTTAGTCGGTGTTCCTCAGTACAAAACCTAAAGCAAAAGTACATTGGGGAAGCAGGTTCGTGTAATGTGTAGCCTTTTACTGTATAACTAACATTAACGACTTTAACTCACACTGAGGGCTCAGAATATTAAAAGACAAATGCTGGCCACAAAGTTATATATAGTTTATTACGACCCACTAACATATAGCCTCTAATAAGGTTAGAAAGTCTACCCTATTCTCTCTAATGAGCACCAGGGGCAATTGTTTAGTTTTTTGCCTCTGAGAGCGGGCACCCATTAGAGAGGGGGGCTCATTGGAGAAGGGCGCTCATTGAAAATAGATAGAAATCCAGCAATAAGAACTGAGCTTTCAAATTCAAACGACCATTGTTTTAACAAAAACTAATATTGCATTTTCATCACCCTTGTTAAAGGCAAAACATCTACAAGATGCCAATTTCTTCGCATCGGAACCTTCCTCTATTTGCATAAATACTGGTGTGGCATCTTGAAAATCGAAATTTTTCAATACAATGAAATGGTTTCTTATCGGAATCTGTCAGTATTTGAAGAGAACTGTCCCAATTGAAACAGCATACGTTTTCTTAATTATGTCTAGCTGATGACTGACTATCACAAAAATTTTACATATTTTCTCCCGCTGATCTCTATCTGTTTTCATATTATTGGGGGAAGGACACTCAATGGAGAGGGGCAGTCATTCAAAATTTTTCTAAAAAAGGGGACGCCCATTAGAGAGGGGCGCTCATAGGAGAGAGGACACTCATTAGAGAGATTACCGCAAATGAGAAAAAAGTCTACAAAACAAGGTTGGAATAGACTCAAAAACTACGAAGTAAGCAGACAAGCATGAACAACTAATTATGGACACTATAGTAAAGTATGATTTTTCATGCAGTCAAGAAATTCTTCTAGAGTCTCCGCCCTCCTCAGTCCCCCCGTGACACTGCTATTGCATAACTATGGGTGTTATCGATGTAGATCCAGTCATATTTGAATCTGCTTATGCAATTTGAATCTTCAAGAAACACGGGACAATGTTAACTCGCAAAGTAAAAGAGCATCTGATTTGGAAATGTTTTCAAGGGGTACAGCTATCAAAATTTGAAGGCTGATGAAGGAGTGACATTGGCCATTATGTTCACACTATTCGAAGCAAAGTGACATGGATAAAAGGAGCTCTGACGTTACATGAAACAACACAGAACAATGCTAATCAAATAAACGTACAAAAGATGCACCCCACCTTTCCATACTCTTTACAATTTCTTTAACAACTGGAAGGCTATCTGGATTTTCCTTTACGTCATTGAAAAATTCTTTCAGGATATCTTCTAACTCTGAGTCTTTCTCAAAGTCCTAGAAAATCAAACGATTCTTATTCAACAATGGAAGTATCCTAGCAAAGTATTAGCCAAGGCATCAAAAAATGAAGAGCATGTCACATAACATTATCACTTCTTTAAGCGATACTTGTACAGAACCTTTCTTTAATTCATATTAAACAAAATACGTTGCTATTAGCAAGCACAACTCACAAATCAAAGTTAGGGACGTGGGTAAAAACTCAACTGCTAGCTTGCAAACTGGCAGAGTTCTTATGTCAGGGACAACTGCCCATCTACTTGCAATTCTCAAGGTACTTCAACACTCGTGTCAAAGACATTTTAAACAGTAGTAAGGCAACTACAATGCCTGCCAAAAGTACTTGGAACACCGAGCAATTTACGCTGCATTTGATATCTTTCATTCCTTTCATTAAAAAAAATTGCTACTTCCGCCCCCTTCCCCCTAAAACAATGTTGATGATTTAGAGAAATATCATAAAAGAAGCGCAAAAGAAAGTGCTTCCTAAAATCCTAACCCGTTTGATAGTGAATTGATGTCAGTGTTCCAAGAAGATCAGAACAAACTCATAAAATATGTTCTTTGGTTCAACGACACCGTTTAGCTCGACTGGTTTTGTCCTAGATTTTTCTGAAACAACATCATTACTATGCGCTCACCTGGTTGTGTTTCGAGACCCAGTGCTTCATAATATTGAGGATTTTGAGGGGTGCGCGATTCGGGAGTATTGCTCTCATAGAAACACGCCCTTCGTCTCGATGGAAATTCTGCGAACCAGCCCTTGGTTTAATCTCGTCATCTTTTGCATTCTTGTAAAGGCGCAGTGTCACATTCTTGCCTTTCTTTGTCTTAGGCGAGGCTTTATCTTTCAGACTGTTGTCACTGTGGCTTTCCTTTAAGTTCTCTTTTATATTTAGGTCTTCATAGCTGGCCATTGAATACAGGCTTTGGGTGTCGTCATCCATCAAAAAGCTCCTACGATCAACTGTGGAAGTCTTTCTTGATATTTCACCATCCTCAAACCCACCTATACTTGGATGCAGCATGTCTGACTTTGATCTCCTCATTCCTGTTGTCTTGTGTGACTTATTTCGGCTAAAGCTGAAAATTTTTCTTTTTGGACTTTCAGGTTGCGATTCAGACTTGGTCTTTGAGCGCGAGTTTAGTGCCGCTTTCAGCGTTTTCTTCATTGACTTTGGCGTTGGCGGCTTTTCTTCTATATGCTCCTCCGTGTCGTAAAACATCGACTTTCGATCTTCAGTTTGAGACTCATTGCTGCTGGAAGTGGACGGCGACCGCGACATCTTGCTTTCTCTTTTATTTTTCTTACCTTTTTTCCGCGCGGCATGAACAGTTTGTGAGTCATACATGCCAAGAAACTTACTTATATCTTTGTCATACGACCCAACTGGTAGAATAGCAGGTAGTGAAGGTCTGTGCGTTTGCAAATGTTTGTTGACAAGAAGTCTCTGTTTATAATCCAAATGCAAGGTTTTAGCGTTATTCACAGTGGGCGTGTTAGCATCCTCCACGTCTATGCCACGCTCGTGGGATGCACCGTTCTCACCAACACCCACTCCACGTTCATGAGCAACGTCATTCTGCAGGCTGGTCAGGTCACCCTCACTAGCAAAATCATCTAAAACGCCCTCCCGGTAACTGCCAGTCTGACTTCCCTCATTGGAGCATTCCATTAATGTCTCTAACTGTCGATCAGACACTTCGTCTGAACAGACGGAATTAACAGACTGTTCACTGGCGGCCCGACTCAGATTCTCCTTGTTGCTATCTGATTTTGGACTCTCCGTTTCTGGTAAGGGGTCCATCGCAGATACTGGCCTCTCTAGCGGGCTTTGCTTGAGCCTGTTCAGGGTTCCTTGATAGCCAATGTTGTGGAATGAGGCCGGTGATGTCTTCCTGCGATCTTGGTAGTCGAAGTCAGACTTATCGCTGACAGACCCACTTTCTTGCGAGACACTTCTTTGTCTCTTGTCATCACTGGAACCTGTCAGCGGGTTTTCACGCCTGCAAAAAAATCAAACATAAAAAAATTCAAATATGAACATAAACTTAAAACAAAACACTTCCTATATGCAACCAAACTCTTGTGTCCTAATCGATTAATAAATGGTTCTCATACACCAAAGGTCGTCAGAATACAGACAATAGAAAGTCTTAAGCATTTACGTAATACAACAAAACTTACCACTGCTCTCTGCTATGGCGTCGAGTTAATGTTGTGAAGTTTATGACGTCGTTAGCAGTTATTGGAGACAAAGTGTCATAGTCGTCGTATGATGACACGCTTGATGAAGTACTCAAGATACTGGATGTTCTGTCTCTTGATCCAGGAGATGAGAAGCTGCGAACTAGACCTAAAGCAATGAACGAGTGTTATACAAAGCCTAAAGGGTGACTGTTAAGAGATATATGTATGTCTTAAGAAATACAAAGATGTATTGGATTAGACCACTTGAAAATCGTAAAACGGAAATTCTGTGCTGTAGAATATTAAAATATACTATAACATCAAAAGGGCTACAGGGGAACAAGAAAGATTTGGTTTCGAGCTTAAAATAACTATTATTATAAAATGTGGGAAAATAAAATTAAAAAATAATGTAGCAAGTATCAAAAATAAATATTTGTCTAACATGAAAAAATAATTATTTCCTAATAGTAACGCATTGATGAATAGATAACTTGTAAAATATCAGGTTAACTACCCATATTGCTGAATAAATGTTACTCTATAAGCTCTTGATATTTTAAGTTCGACATGACAACAAATTACTAATTCCTCTGCATATTAAATTTTTAGCAACTACTTTTAAAGCAAAATTGACAAAATTGAACTTCGCTTTCTCACTTTTCTTCCTCTCTGTAGTGTTGTTATTCGGCTCTTTAGCGTCACCGTTCGTCAACTGTTTGTATTGCCCTGTTCTCTCTTCTTCGAGTTGGTGATAGAACTTAATAAGGGCCTGTAACACTACCTTTCCAGTGGTGAAGTACCGATATGTTACTAAGAATGTGTCCATGAAGTCCGTTCCTGGCAATCTAGGATCCACCAGTCTTTCTAGTAGCCTATTCAAGCTTGCATATAAAATCTGGAAGAAAATGGCGTAATATATTGAAAAATTGAAACAAACAAGCCAGTCAAAATAAAAGAACAGACACTCATCAAAGGTGTTCAACAACCTATAAGTTTGGCATCAATAAATTGTTTGTATAAAGAGATCGGCGCTGGAAATTTTAGAAAGCTTTCAAGCAAATCAAGCTTATCATTGTACTGATTGTCTCTAAGATTTTTGGTCAAAATTTCGAAAGATCTTCAATTACACATTTTAGCAATTGCAAAAAAGTTATTCAGAAATTTTCAGATTTCCACTGTATTTTTCAAAAATTTTTTTTTCAAGTTCACTTCTTAATGAAGATTTCTAATCGAATGGCTACTTTTAAGTTACTATCGCTTTCAAAACTTAAATAAAAAAACAAAATATTGGAGACTAGAAAGTTTCTGAATTTCGATGCTTTAACCTCATCGTATCTTTACCCTCGATAAATGCCTCATCGTATTTTTTGGCATTGCTACAAATTTTGGTAGCAAAAATGTACATGCCTGTTGGCTGTGGAAATAAATAATTAACTTGGTCTGCATCCTATCGAGTCCACGTTTAAATTAGAAAATCATTTAGAAAACTTGTTTGACATAATTTTATTTTCTATTGTCTCGCTATTCTGGGTGTTGCGAGCCTGTTCCTACTTTTCATGCCAGATACAAAAACAGGGTAAAGATATTGAAACATTTTGTAGTCATGCTGCTACCAGTCGCTTTCCAAGCCGGGAAAAGCATTTTGGTATTGTTGTTTTTGAATGACCTGTTGGTGCTAACCTGAGGTAAGCTGTTTGATTCCAGCCTTTCAGCATACTTGATGTCCTCAGCATCTGTCACTAGTCTCGGGTCATCCCTACAGCAAACAAAAAAGTATAAGGCATTTATCATCAAAGTTACTAATAGCGTGCTTGGTTCGTTAGAGTTGACAAGAGGGTAGTATAAGTAACAGGTTCTGCATCAATTAGTCATAAAGGATTCTTGTAGCAATAGATTCAGAACTGGAAGGATGATGCAGGACGTGGCTTTCAGATATGATTGACAACGGGAAATCTTTTATTGGAAATGATGTTCCAGATTGTAAGCAAGAAGAGGAAGGTATTGAGACAAAAGGTGCAGTTAGGATCAGACTGAATTGTAAGCAAAATATTTCAATAAAAGCACATGTCGTTGTTTTAAAAAGAATATCTGCTAAAAGGACACATACTTGATAGGAATTGTTCGCATGAGCAACGAAGTCGAAGCAACAACAGCAGTATCCTTGTCGTCGGTTGGTTCAGTGACCACTTCCTTTGGCTCTTTTTTCTCTTGGTTTTCGTAATCATAATAATAATCTTCGGGATCTTCTAGCGTCATGTTATAGATGCACTACGGGAAAAACGATAAACTACTTAAAAGTGATAAAGAGGAAAATACTTCGACCAAGGACAAAGTAGATAGGGGGAGGGGACTTACACAATATGCTCGTTTAATACCCTTAAATTTGGATTTCTTGTATAGTCCTATCAGCATAGTACGGAAGAACCAGTACTTCTCCATTTGCGACTCTCCCAAAACAGAATTAAGCGGCCTATAGTTGGTTTTGTCTGCCCTAAAGCTAAACCACAAAATACTCTTTAGAAAGAACCTAGAAACTGAATAGGTTTACCCTAAATATTATCCTTTTTGTTAAAAATGTATAGGGAAGCAACTCGAAAATACAGGTCATATAGCCAGACTTCTCAAAACTAAGGGAAAAAGGCAACACATTTTAGACACACATTGAAAGCAATTCACTTGTACACAAAATTTACGCTGAAAAAAGGTTGATATCTAAATGACATCGAAATTAGCTAAAAAGCAAAGAATTCTTGACTATCTATTGAAATTCTCCACGAATCGACCTCATAGATTAACCAAAGCTCGTTATTCCGGACATTGAATAAAAAGCCAGATCCAACTGACTACAATGCAACAGATAATGAGTGCGATAATATACCTGACTGATATCTGATGTCCATATAGCTTTATCAGTTGGTCGTGCAGCCATAAGAGTCACAAAAAAACATTCTACTTTGCTATGGACCAGCAATGTGAATGCCAAGCCTCTATTGTTCTGCGGGATACCTATGAGGTAACGAAGCATTGTTTAATGTTACTGCACAGACCATAACTATTAAAACATGATCAGATACGACAATGTGGCCAATCAACGCAATATCGTCAATTTAAGGCAGCTACAAATGTAAATATGCAGTTACCTAAAAACACTGGTAAGGAAAAACCATTTTTTCATAGTGGTTATCGTGGGTTCGTGTTGGTTCAATGATACACTTAGTGCAAACTTCAATTAACTAAGATGTAATCAACTAAAATTTCGAATATTCACGGATATTCTAAGCCATTACGGTTGATACAACCAAGTTCCTTATTATCACAAGACGAAAAGAATCCTTGGAGCGTGGGCGTGCATCAGTTCTCCCCCACTTTAAAAAGAGCTGCAACACTCTGACACTGATCTAAAGCTAGGCATGGGTACCCAGGACACTGCTTTTTGCGGTCTGCTTTACACAACTGAGGTATGGCGGGTCAAATATAACGGTTTTATAGACCATAGACAAAAAGCTTATTGTCGACTTAAACAAATGTCCAAAGATAAGGTAAGTTTGAATAACTAACAGAGAGTTTAACAAAAAAATCATGCCTGCCAAAATTTTCGTTGTGCAAAATCCGTTGTCCTTATAATCTACTGCTGTATTGCAACACTGATCAAAATCTTTTGATCAATCGTCCAAATAAAGATACAATGCATTTAAAAAAACATATTGTACTGTGTGAAAAGTTTAGAGTTTTATAGTTGAAATTTAAACCTTTATGAAATGTCAAACAGACTTAAACTATCATGATAAGAGATTGCTTGATATTTTACTTTTGTTTTTGAGGTATTGATAAACTATTTGTCATATTTGACAAATAACTTAAATATTCAGTGAATAACTCAAAGATACAGTGACTAACTTTCATCATCCACTTCCTCGATTAAGGTTGTATACTTCAGAGGAATCTTTCCGCAGATCTGAAAAATGATCGAGAAAATATGAGATGATGCAATATATATAAATAGAAAGTAAATAATAGCGTCATGGCGTCCTGGAAGCCGCAAACCTTAGCGTACATTAATGGTCTGCCAAAGACGGCCCACAATAATGGATGACGCAGGTAAACTTCCATTGAGAAAACTACACTTCCTTGTCAAAATAAATGGCCCACCTGGACAACAATTTAGCAGGAAAATCAATTTCATTCTTGCTTGACAATATTGAAAATTGCGTAAGGCCTAGTCTAAGTGATATTTTGTAGCATTAAAAAACCATGGTTCAAAGTTCCATTTAAGGGCATACATTTTCAAAACTTACCTTCGCCAGCCTGAAATTTCCGTCTGCCGTCCGTGACGTAATAATTAAATGGCGGCTAAATAGAAAGCAGTGCCTCGTCTTCTCACGTAAAATTCCAAGTCCAATTTTAGAAGTAACGAAATGGCGCAGGATACCTACAAAACAATTAGAATATAGTTTAGCTCTAAAAAAATTAATGAATTTGTTTAATGTTATATCCTGCTATTTCCGTAAGATACAAAAGCAAAACCACGTGGTAATTTCGGGATGGATAACATTAAAAACACACCATGGTTTTTTCAAGAAACGTCTATTTTTCATTTAGCTGCAAAATCTATGAAATCCTGACTCTTAAAACACTAGAATCATTTAAGGCTGAACATTAACAAGAAGATTAAAATGTATTGCAGCTTCCTTAGCTGGAGCCAAAACTTTAGATACAGTTACTTGAATATTCGAAAGGGCAAAGATTTCGGCCTCACAGTGCGCAAGATTTTTATATTGTAAAGGAGTCTAAACTGATTTCATGAACATTGCTTGAATTAAGGTAAAAAATGGGCTAAAAAAACATATTAGAGTGACGATTGCAATCATTTTTGAACAATTAATTTCTCTCTGTAAAAAAGCCGAAAATACGCGATCAACAGATATATGAATTAAAGAAATACAAATTGATGCACGGCTGAAACATAAAACGTGAGCAACGAGCAAAAAGGAAGATGAACTAAAGGCAAAACGGCTAAACTCAAAGTTTGACGTCTGCTCTTCACGACGCTACATTACTGACGAATGGCTTTTCATTTAACTTTATTAAAGTACATTGAATCAACCTTGCAAAACATTAAAATCTTTAAGGATTACAATATAATGAAATTCACGCGATTATAAATAAGCTCTTCATTGAATTATCCGGACATTTTCCGAAGAAAATCTATCTGGGTGGTCACCAACAAGTTTGGTTACAAAAAAGTGTTACAGATAAAATATATCATAGACTTAGAGCGGGGTAAAAACGAACGTGCGAAAAAATAAAACAAAAAACAACGTTATTTTATAAAAATTCCTTTGTAACAAAAAGTTAACAATGGATATCTGTCATTATTATTTTAAAAATGCTCACCATGAATTAATAACACGTTGCCATAACTTACAATTGAAACTACAGTGACCACAAAAATCGTAAGATTTCAATCGCTTGAACAATTGAAAACCTTTACCAAAACATCAGTGCACATATTCTTCCATCGTGAGTTTTTAATGACTATTCGCTTAAAATCAGTGTCACAGATCCTTCGAGAAATTCATGTACGACCAAATAGAACTTCGAGTGGAAATATTTCAATTGACAGACAGAACTATCTTCAAAACAACTCAGTTTCATGTCTGACCCATCTTACGTATCTATAGCAATCAACCTTTGGATCTAAGTCTTCCGGCCAGATATGTGGGTTTATGAATTTTTCAAGTTCCGCATTTAAAGGTCGCTAACAAGACCATAACAAACTGATTCAAATGTAATACTGCATAAGGCTTCAGAATCCCTTATATAAATTCTTAAACCGAAAAGTGCTTATCCAAAAGATTTGTAACCACATTCTAAGGGATATGCTTAAATAATCCTTATTTTTCGATTCTTATAGTCCACCTTAATATTTCTTTATTTGGGATATAAGCTTCACATGTAATTCAAGCCTTGTACCCCGGTGATAAATTGACGTCACAGTACGAATGAAATAACTACCGCAAAAATTATTTGCGTTAGAAACCGTTGGTCATCAATTGAACAATGATGTATCAGGCTGGTTGTAAATGGTTATAAAGCTATGGTCATAGATGCTATATGCGATAAAGTCTGATAAGGAGCGTGACGTAGTTTGCAGCCAGCAACAGTTATAGCCCAATGTTGGATGCGGTGAGTTTAGGCCATAGGCCATAGGCAATATTACATAAACTCTAACATCAGTTAAGGTAAATCTTGACAAAAGGTAGTTTTTTTCGCAATATGGAGGTATGCACAGTACAGTTGTTGAAAATTTCCTTCACAAATGAGTAATAAGTACTAAGGCTTCATATAAACCTTTGGTTTACGTCATACATGCCAAGTGCTTGGCTTTTCTTGGAAGCATAACAAAGGGATTCAATTGTATGTTAGTTTGACGCTTCAAGTTACCGAACTATCTTCCATGGTTCCTATACTAATTGAAGAAGTCTTCAAAGACGTCCATCTATTTATAAAAAGCACTGGATAACTGGATAAAACAGGTGTGGCCACGGTTGTAGATGTTTACATCCTACAGAATTGCCGGTGTACGACGTACAAAACAACTAACAGAGAAAATTGCACATTTACCCATCTACTTTACTAAGCAAGAAGACGGGGCAACTCGAATCTAGGGGACGAACAGTCATCCCTTACAGAAATTATAACAAATCTAGCACAATGCAAACACCTAACATGTGGAGATTTTCTTACAAAATGATACGCTGACGAAAAAAGCAACAACTTTACCTTCTCTGATGAACTTTTGGTCAGTATCCAACAGTACGTCACAGCCACCATCTATTGTCCGTTCAATCTCAAGCGTGTGTTTGATGCTCTCACACTCACTCATTTGCTGATTCAAGGTCTGAAAAATGAAACGAAAACGATTTAAATGAACTAAATCACTCAATTAGCATGTACGCAACGATCAGTTGGCAGCGCAAAAAACGATAAATGGCCGATTTAAAGAGAGCCCCGTCCATTAGGCCCAACAAGCAATTTTGAATCAAAAGGCGAGCTCCCTAGAATCAAATAAAAAATACACTTGCACATTATACTTCCTATTAATTTCCTTAAATTAACTTGGAGCTTCATAGTGAACAGAACTGCAACACAGTAGGAAATCACTGCGATTCAAATGATACTCTAACGAACCATACACTAAAACCAATAGTAAACATAACAAAGATAACAAAAGAAAGAGAAACATAAAAAGTTCTACTGCACTTCAAAACTTGATTTTGTGCAGGGTTTTGGAGCTTGTTTTGTCGATAGATTTATTAACTAGCAATTTAAGTGATGTGGACAGAAACACTACACTAACAAGGAATTTTGTTAAGGAAATCACTCAATAAAATACTAATACTCAATACAATACCAATACTTTTGTAACTATATTATAGAAACATCTACAATAAATATTTTGATTTTATTAGAAGCGTGCCTTGTTTTGATAGGTAATCGCATAACAATACCACATAACTAACTACATAACAGTCAGTGATGGTAATAAAAAAAAGGTCGTAAAAGTGTCTTGTACCCCTGTAGATTTTTGTAGTTGCTGGTTTAATGCCGAGCTGATCTGACAATTGACACTGTTAAGATTATAATGTTGTAAAGCAAAAATTTTATCCTATATAATTGGAAAAAACAATTAGAATGCAAATAATTTCCGGACACAATGGCAGAACTGTTAAGAAAACAAAATTTCAACTAGAGGAACCACAGCTATATCGTGAGTGCAACGGGTTTAATTGCTGTGTTTCAACTTACCCCCTGAAGGCTCTCAACTTTGTCGTGCAATTCCTGCAGCCCTACCCGTGTTGAATCATTATCAGGAGTCGAATCGATCACCTGACCAAGGATCCTCGAGTACAGAGGCATCTAAAAGAACAATATCAATCATCACAACTTGCCAATGTAAATACAAATCAATCAATGCGCAATTTGCAAACGGCTACATCATTTTGCCAAGATAAACTAAAGAATGTGAAGATGACAGAAAATGACATACTCTTTTGCACTTTCATATAAAATTTAATATTCAATCGTTAACTAATTGAAAGTTTTTCCCTAATATCATGAACGTCAATTTTATCTTATAGGTAGAATTTAAGCCCATCATCTCAGAACTTCTTCGTCTGACGGGGTTAGCGTGCGAAAAAACAGCTTTTTAATGTAGTTGAAAGCCAACAGAAAATTTGAATTCAAGATTGGCTCTGATTGAAACGCAAAATACGTTTCCAGACGAACTACATTAATTTTTCTTTATCTATAAGTTCTCATCACATTGGGCTCCATAGTAGACAGAACTACCAAATTCGGAATATATTTGTAATTGATCTATTGGCATTTTCATCACAAATCGTAGCATAAGGCAAAATAATTAACATAATTAACCGTAGCATAAGGCAAAAAGTGGGCTATATCAACAGTACAAATTACACATACTTTCTCAATGCATCGTTTACTATTAGCGATGATACGCAGACATAATTAAAAGCTTTTGCAAAAATAAACAAATCATATGTTAATTTATCTTCATGAATCAATGTTTTATAGATTTGTTACTTCGCATAGACAAATGCTGACAAAACAATTTTCAAGACCTGATTTATTGAAATAAAATGAATTTCAAAGGCAGAAATTATAATAAATTCAATGTTCATACCAAGCCAACAGGATAGTGCAGGAATTGCTCGATGGTTTGACCATTACATTCTGGTTTTCTTTCGTACCACTTCAAAAGCTTCATAAATTCTGGCCTTCGTTTGCATTCTGACAGAACCTACAAATAAACGTTCTCGGTTAATTAAAATCGGAACACTTTAATTTGATCTTTACACCAGAATTTAAGCTTTGGCGATGTTAAATGTCCCAGATGGAAGAACAAATGATAGGTTTTGAGAAAAATTTATTGTGGAAATCGGCAGTAAAGTCAATTTAGCAGGCTAAACATAAAGCAAAAAGAGTCACGACGATTAACGCCAACTATATCGAAACAGTTTAGACGTTTTACAGATAGGCCGAAAGTAACTCCAAATAACCCAGAGTAACTACTGGAAACTACAAAAAACTCTAAGTTACCAGACCCGCAAATGCCATATGGACTACATACAGGTTTGGTAGAGTCAACTCACCTGCAGAGCACCGCAGTAATTCCTGATATACTCGTGGTAAATTGGCAGCAAAGAGACCATAGCTGACAAGAAATCTTCTGAAGGGTGAAACAGCAAAAAAGATTACTCTTGGCTCAGAGTCTTAAACTAAAAATGCTTTGACTACTTATAGCAATGTTGTGTCCAGTGAAGACGTAATTGCCTTCAATTATAGCGAACGCTTTTCCAAGTGAAGTATTCAAATACTCATCTTATCACTTAAACTGGTATTGAAACATCTTCTTAGATATACATATATATAAAACTTTAAATTATTCTTAATGAAAGTAAACATCTCTAAATATTTTTCATCCTACCCAGATTCATCTCTATGGTTAACCTCGTACCCAAACTTTTTAAAGAAAATCAAACCTCACAATGCATACTGAAAACATCATATACTTTAGGTCATCATTTAATACTTTGACTGACAAAACCAGCAAGTATAGCTCATTACTTATTTTACAATTACTATACTCTACAATTACAATTACTGCAAGCTAAAATCAGTATAATCACCCCTATTATTATCATAATCACTTAATAGGTCTTCGATTTGTCGTGATTATAGAATTTGTCATGCGAAACTGCGCAGAGTAGAAAGCGTCGGATAATGGCAGAACGGTAAGCAACGATTATTACGTCACACTTCGGTGAAATTGGAGGGAACAGGCTCGTAAAGAAAATAAAAAAGTGTGGTGCATTAGGCAGCATCATTTGGCCAAAGTAAGAGTATCCTAGCCCGTAAAATCGTAAAAGCGCAAAATAGAAAAGACCAGCTCTTACCCAGTTTTAAATTAGGCCAATACTTCAGTCGTTGTTTAATGCCTTCTAAAAACATTTTGTGTAACATCAATATGACATCACTGAAAAAAAATTAATCAATTATAATTTATAAATTATAGATTACAAAGATTTTTTCTAGTATTCGTGCTTACGTACGCATACTGAATAAATAGTTCTTTGGCAATTGCAAAGCAACATGTTGAAATAAAACAATATTATTTATACATTATCCGAGTCTGATATCCTCGAAAATTACACCTTAAGGCATCAATGGCTACAATCATATCTGATTGCAAGGCTTATATTGACTTAATCGCTATTATATTCAGTACTCAGTTTGATAAGCATGACAATATTTTTAACAGCCGAAAAAGCAAAGGTCAGGGTTCCTTTTTGCGCCTTCTGAAAATATAAGCATTAATTGTTTCCTTAAAGGTTAACATTGCATAGCTTGATTCCCCTTAAAATCTGATGTAATTGTTATCCAACTTCCAAAACTCTTCAGCAATATTTTTACAAAAAAATAAACAATATTTAGATTTAATCAAAGTTGAGAGAACCTTCAATTCATTTTTATACGATATTATCGTGCTCGAAAACAACAAAACTGAATAAACGTTCACCAAACTAGCACAAAAGAGGGTTGGTCTGTCGCGACTCTTTCAACTTAAAAACATAAAACACATACCAGTTTGAGAAAAGGGTCCTCACTTCATGGACTGTGCAGGCAGGGTACCTAGCATCTGCTGCCATCATCAACGGCTTTCGAAATATCATCACAAGCGTTGTCAGCTGTTGAACATAATCTTCTTCCGAAATCACAAACTGCCAAATAATCTGCAAAGGGAAACAGGATGGGATACTCATTACGCTGGGCAACGAGAACAGAATATTACCCGATGCATGGCAGCCATTACACCAATAAAGTTTGAAATTGATTTTCTTTAACTTGTATATTGCGTTCACGTTTAAATTTAGCAGCAGTTAAGTCCCCTAGCAAAGCCTGTTTTTTGACGATCAAATAACATTCTTTTGCATTCCAGAAAGACAACAGTTACATAAAAACAAATATACGACCTTTTATAAAAGCATTTTTCTTACAATTGCAATTAACTGAAGTGTACTTTAACACTCACCCTGTTCCGCTTCATGAGCTTTTCCCCACTCGGAGACATGATGTACATTTCTACTATATGAGTGAATCGCTTACGTGCAGCCCACCCTCGAATCCATGATTGAAGCTGATAAAAAAAGAGGCTTATTATTAAATCTGATTGATTTCTAGACAAATACTATCAAACTTGACTGAAAACTCCCGTCTCAAGTAGAACGCAAAAACCAATAAGATCAGCAAATACAAAAGACCCTCGAACCAGGGTTTTCATGCAAACATGATGCATTTATATATAACGAGCGAGAACCCAGTTGTTTCGGTTTTAGATCTCCTTTTCATGGCCTTTTTCTCTTCATACATGTCCAAACTCTCACTTGAAAAGTTTGGCTTTCAGGAAAAGCTATCTTTCATGGTGTGTATCGCAAAGTCAACAGCAAGCTGTTATCAATATTTTCAGACAGCGGGCGTGTCGAATGGTTTTATTTTACCAGTCCTTTTCCAGTGCTATAACACAACAAATAAGCATGGAAGCAACGGTTCTGTCCAATGTTGTAATATTCACAAATAGCAATAAACTATACAGCTCGGCAACTAAGGAATCGCAATGGAAATATCTTCGCATTTGATGTAATTTCTTCAAACCAAAAGGGCCTATACCCAGTGTTGACAACACACATCCTTATTTCACGATGCTCCTAATTAAGCGAATATTCACAAGGCTATGTTCAATGCACTGTATTTTTATGACTGGAAATGCCTCACCTGTATGATTTTCTTCTTGTCCTCTGCGGTGTATTGCAGCAATAGGTCATCATCGCAAAGAGTAGCATTGGTCCCGGGCGTTCCCAGACTGCTGCTCGTGCTGTCCCTGGAACTGTCAGAAGAATTCCGCGAACTGTTCAGTCCATAAACAGCCTTCTTGTCTCTGAGGCTACTTACCTAAAAAAGGATTCAACATGATAAAAAACCAAATACGGTAGCAAACATAAACTTAGACGAGACAAAGTCGAATATATAGATTGTCTAAGATCTTGAATCAGCATCATTGTCGTGATCAATGCAGAAAAAACTAAAGAAAGGTGGAAAGTGTGAAAAAATAGCTAAAAATTAAATAAACAACGGATGCAAGACCTCTAAGCAAACTAACAAATCAACATAAAAACCAGATCTTCCATGTATTCTTCATCCCGACAAAAATTTAATCTGCAGCATGTCAATGGATTTCAAAAAATGAATTTACATTAAAATCGTAGCTAGTCATTGGCTCTGATCTATGTCAATGAGTTTCACTATCGTGGTTGAACAATCATCCGCCTAATATTGCTAGCCACGAAAATTTAGATTAAAATTTACTTAATGATTACAGAATCTGCCTTTGCTCAGATCTCCATCACAGATACAAGCAGACTCCAATTTGCGTCTGAATATGCAACAAACAATTCATATTGCATAATGGAAGAAGCGAGGCTCCTGTCATCTTGATATCAACTTGGATGTCATGATAATATTGTAATGTTGATCCAATCTCGCGACAAGCGCGCGAGTAAACACAGTAGAATCCAAAGAAAAATCAAATCTCTCACAGCAAATGTCTATGTTTCAGGATCCATTACTTTTTAAGAATAGAATACATAAAATGGTTTTTATTTTTTTACCTGAAACTCGAAATTACTTTATCTAGAAGGGTTCCCCGGACAAAAAAAGGGGGCTAACTTCTCATTCAGATCAACCACAATACTCTCCCCAGGGCAGGAAGGGCAGGAACGTTCTAGAACGGGCTGGCAAGCCTGGTGCAAAAGAGCTGTCACTTGATGCAAAACATTTCAATACCAGGCGCAAAATGAAACTGTTGCATGAACCACTTTGCACAGCAGCTATTCTCATATGTGCAGCGACTTTTCAATGCAAGATTTGTTCCCCTCAAGGCTCAGCTCTCCCAAAAAGTCACAACACACTTTGCTCAATCATAAACTGGATGTTTACTTCTAGCATTAGCTTCAGGCAAATGCTTACAAAATCTCTACATAATTTCAACAATATAATCAAATTGAGAAACAATTATTATTTGAACATCCAGAAAATCTATCTGATTGCAATATAAATTTTTGATGTGTTCTTCGATGCCTGCCAAAACCTTTAGAACACCAACTTGAAGGTCTCCTTAATTTCTTTTTTCTTCTCATTTTGCATGAAAACTGCAGTTATTTCTTCTTTCCATTGAAAAACAGTAGCCACTCCTTTTTTCAATGGCCAAAAAACAATTTTCTCTAAAGTCAAACATGTCTCTTTTTGTCCCAATTTACTGATGATAAAATGTGTGGTTCATTAAAACACTAGAATTTATGGTTAGTGTTCTAAATCTCTCAGTATTTAATGTAGGCATAATGAAAAAGATTTTTACCTCAGCTTTGAGCCTAGAAACTTGCGACCACTGGTCTGCACATTCACGTTGCAACCTCTCCTTTGATTCTTTCTCTTTCCTTATTTGTTTTTCTAGGCCTTTCACAATTGTCTTTAGCTCTTCATTTTTGTACTTCAGTCCTTCCCCACTACAAAAAAATGCATGATTAATAAAGTTCTATAGCAGGACAAAAATGAAATAAAAATATCTTCTATAAGATAATTGAATGCAATGCAAATCGTGGTTTATAATATGAGAAGAGAAGCAAAAAGAGTATGTTATCTTCATTTTTGTTATTTGAAAAAATAACTGTGCTATCTATTTGCATCTGTAAAAAGTTTTTTTTCCAGAAAATATTGGTGATGCCTTGATAGACAAATTCTCATTTGGTCAATGTTTGAACTCTTGATGTACATGGTTGACTTCAAGTAGTTTTCAATGCTATCACAAGTCTTCTCTGTTCAACCCAAGTAACAGTACATAAGACTTCTGGCGTTTAGAGGTGGAACTTATAGACAAGGGCAGCTTATCATGAAAAATAGGAGGACATCTAAAATTTTAAAACAGAGTTTTCTTTCCATTGTTTAAAATTAAAAAAATCCAAAAAGGGTTTCCTTCTTACGCATGATAAGAGGGTACTTCAAAACTAATCTTCGTGCAAAACATCTTCTATAGACAGAAGTAAGAGATGCAGATGCATCTGTACAATCTTTTACAACCTGTTAAACAATATCCTGCACTGTTTGGTGGCTGGCACTAATTTCAGTCTTGATTTGAAAGGAGAGAACCATTATAAATTGATTAACAAGCTGTTGTGACAAATAAGAAGATATACCCTAACAGCAGCCATTTCTTAGAACAGTTTTCAGCACAGAAAAATGCCAAAACATACTTATGTTTTATCTACTGCTTCCAGAGAGCAGTCATTTGTACCAGGGTTTAAAAATGACAAAGATTTTTGGGGTAAAATTTTGAGGCTGTTACCTCCACTCCTGAATAGATTCCATCCAACCTTCTCTTTCCTCTTCTGAGCTCGCAACAAAAAAGTACTGCCGGTGATCATCAATTTCACTGTCAATCACAAATGCAAACTAGACAGAAAAATAAAGTTACAATTGTAAGCTGTGAATTAGTAGAAAATGAATATGAATTAATAAATGTATTTAAATTCTAAAACCATGCATAATACATCGGGGTAGGATTTAAATATGAGAAAGAGCAGAAATTTTTCAAGCAAAAAATTGAGTTTTGGTAGTAGCAAAATTACTTGATAAATCTCTTAGAGATGTGACTCATTTTTAGTGATTACAAAATATGATTCTTTACATCATTTAACATGTTTCTAATTAAGAAAAACTTAATCATCTTTGTCCAATAAACAAACAGTCATCTTTGTCTTCTCACTTTACAAAATGCATTTATGGAACAAGACAAATGTAAAATAACACAGTCTGTACATAAAACAGCTACACCTCACTCACCACTTTTGAATCATCAATCTTTCGACAAGCACACCCTTCTATCATGATCACACCAATTGGTTTGGGCGAAAACTCTTGTTCGTAATAAAACATCATATTATAGTACAGGACATAGTATCTCTTTTGAAGACGGACAGTTTGAGCATCTGAGGCCTGTTTCTTTCCACTCTTTTTATATAAATACCCACATCTTGCAGACCTTCCCCTTGCCTTCAAGGCAAGGACTTGGAACTGATCTTCATTCAGTCGCATTATGAGTAAAATGTTACAATGTCATTTCTTGATATCAATTCATCATAACAGCCACTAACTGCAAGAAATAATTGAACCCTGAAATTTGTTTACCATTAAAGATTTCACTTTGCAAAGAGCCATAGAACCTTTCAACAGGGTCTTATTTCGAAGCCAAGCTACTTACTCTTAGGAGAAACACAATAATATGACTTGAGATTACTTATTAAAAAGTTCTTAAAGACTCATTGCTAACAATGAGCCATTGCGCTACGCAAGCATCCCATTATGCATTTTTAGACAGTCTGAAATCAATTTACTGCCATTGAAGACAGTTAACTGCCATTGTTTGGATTGTCGCCATGCTCGCAAAGGCTCATTGTTAGCAATGAGTCTTTAAGATAAATGGGGGCCAAGTTCCCCTTTAGGCCAACTACAAAAATTTGCCACATGATGTCACAAGCTATTAATCTGTTAAGACAACTGCAGGACATTCACATTTCTAATTTATTGCAGTTCCAGGTTAAAGCATCCTTTAGGATTAACTCAAGTCACAGCAATAAAAATAGGTCCCAAATTATCTATGCTTAAGCTAAACAAAACTAATACGCAGTTACAATGAGAAAAGTTGCAACTTACTTTCTGTAATAGCATATAGCTTAATTAATCATAATAAAAGCATGAAAGAGATTTTGCATGATATTTTCAATGTCATAATGAGGATTTACATAAAATTGATATTTTCAATATCATAAGGGAATTCATTCTAAAATAAAAAAAGACAATGGGAAGAGAAATTCAGCATTCTGACAATCATAATGCTGATAAAATAACAGCTGAAGCAAGAAAGGGGAAATGCAGAGAAAGAACATGCATGGAGGCCTTAAAGAAAAACTTCACATTGATTCAGGGGAAAAAAGAATGAAGTTTGACTCAGTCGTGTAACTTGACCTGCTGGGCTGGGGGTGAAGGGTCATCAATAGGGAAATTTACAATTAAATATCTGGAAGAAGAACAATTTGAGGCAATTTCACCTACTGGTAGATAATTTTGCTAGACTAAGGCAATGGCGGCTCCAGCCTGGGATAAATGGGGGGGGGCAAAAGGTGTGTCAGGGATCACTGCCTTTTTTCCCTGATTGAAACATTTTCTTCCGAAGGATACGTCTCCCAAGAAAATGTCATTTTAATGTGAAGATCTAGATAACATACATATCCCCCCCACAAAGTTTTCTCATCAGGTTTGCAAGAATCTAAAGGACCAACTTTCTGAAAAAGTGGGGGGGGGCTAGTCCTACCTTGGCTCCACGACTGGACTAAGGATTTAAGGACCTATTGACCAACTCATGAAGCATCGGGGAGGGTAGAGTATCACAACCTCTTACACCCCTGCTAGCTATGCCACTGGTTGGTCTTCTTTTCATGAAACAGTTAGTTTTTACAAAAGAAAAATTAAGAAACAATGTGTTTCTTCGTGGTCTTTTCGGTAGACATCTGGCTGCATCCACATACCAGAACACAAAATTGTATCGAACTTTACTTAATATGGACTGATCAGAACACAAAATTGTATCGAACTTTACTTAATATGGACTGATCAAAATTTTGTGTTAACCTAACCTGGGTGGACTCTTTTTCAAATTTCCCAAGTGTTGAATTGTGACTCCTAGAATCATCAAACAGTTTTTATAGATGATCTTAAAGATAGATTTCATTAAAGGAGCAAAAACAAGCACTTTAAATTTAGCAGAACTTTAAAAGATCAAAATCATGTGAGCTTCTCAGTCAGTTATCCCAAAATTCACACCCTTTGCCCAGAGCTGCAAAAAGTATCGGAACCTGGGAACTAGATTCCCAGAAAGTTTTTTGGCTTGGCAGAAAATTTTCAGCAAATTTTGATAAGAAACAGCTGTTTTTTGCAATAACAACAATGTTTTTTGTGACTTTTTAACAACATATCAAAAGTTCATACAAATGCAAGCTTTAAAAGATTCACATTTTGAAAACCCTTTATAAAAGCTATTAGTCATTTGTCAAACATCACAAACAAATTGTATAACTTAGAAACAACTTTCAGTTTCCTTGTTCAAGAACTTTTTTACAGATAAAGCTGCAGAACTGAAGTAGGCAATTTATATGCTTTGAAAAGTGCTGTTTCTGTTGCCTTATATCAGGATCCTTACAGATCAAAAGATATGAAAATTACATGCACCCTCAGTTTTCTTCCTGCTAGCAATACTATACTTGACTTAAATCTTGCCTGAGGTGTTGGCAGACTTGTCAAAGTCTTGAATCTTGATTGAGTTCTTGAGAGACTTGGCAAAGTTTATGATTGGTATTAAATTACATCCTCATGCTCTTTTGATTCTTATTTGCCCTTATCTTATCTGTCACCATTTATTAATGTAAAAGATCATGTTGACATTTGTACCCATCATATGAAATGAAAGGGCGGTAAAGTAGACTCTGGTTAAAGTCAAACCAAATGTTGCTTGGAAATTTGTGACTGTAAATTGAGTGTGACTGTAAGTGGAGCTAAATTGAAAAGCTTTGCATATCTTAGTTTAAATTTCATGTGACTGCAATGGGTAATGTGACTTTGAGGGAAGTGACTATAAGCAGAGTCAACTGATCGAAAGCCAGATTCAGATTCCCTAAAGTACCTTTCCCAAATGTTGAAGTTTTTTCCATTCAATAAACACATCACCATTTGGTTCACAAATCAGTATTACTTTCTTGCAGTCAATTTTTGCAAAAGACTAAAAAGTGGCAATAAAAAACCAAATTACGATATTTTATGTGAAGCATTCTCTAGACCCAATAAATTAGATGCCTAGTGTAAAAAATTGGCATAGCTTTTGTACACAAAAATTTTACCTTATAACATTTTTGTCCTGTTTCCCAGGATCCCAGAAAGGAAAATATTTTCTGCAGCTCTGCTTGCCTAACATATTTTCAGCCCTGGTTATGATCCTATGGAAGACTTAACTTTCAAATAAGCTTAAGGTAGCAAAGTTTGTATCAACAACTGTCAGACTGGTTTCAAAAATATGACAACATGATATTTACATGTGAATAAAAAAAACAACAAAAAAACATTTAAAAATGTAAACTGATCACATCTATTTGCAAAGATTTCAGATTGAATATCAATTTTTTTGTCTATGGGCAATATCAAAATGCACGCAGTTTGAATTCACACCACAGACATGTACAGATTACAGTTTTTCTTTCCAAGGTTGATTCAAAAGCTTCTTCCCCTTTCGCTATCATTGCAAATAAACATCAGTTTACTATATAATCACGTAAGCTTCATATTATCTGCAAAACATAATCTTAAATAATTTATTACAAGATTACCCCCTAAAACAAAAGTATGAGCATGCAATATCTAGGTTGTGAATTGAAACAAAGGTGCTAGCACATGAATACCTACATTCTTGAGGCCTAACTTTCTTTGTCTATAGGAAGCTGTGTTTAAGAGTGTAACCTCCAAACAGCTCTTAATGCGATGCAGGTAAAGTTTCAGCGAAGTCAAAGTGTAATAGACCATTCTCTTAGCCACGAAATTGGTTTACAGTTACACAACCACAATATTGGTCAAAGACTACGTTCATTTTGGGACAAAAACACTTTCTTTTTGCAGAGTCACACATCATAAACAAACGCTTAGCATACCTTTACAAACCCTGGTGGCGTTTGCAGACGCTCCCTAACCAAAATCCAGCTCAGTCCTGTTCTTCCCCGCCGTTTACATCGAACAAGTTCTATTTCCTTGTTTGCCAAAGTAGTAGCTGTCGCCCAAAGTGCTATGATACCGTTTCTTTCTTGCAGTAGTTTAGAACAAAATTGTGTACATTGTCAATGTGACTAAATGCCTCTTAATGTGGACGAATTCCAGCTTCAGTTGTTCCACTTTCAGTTTCCTTCGTTCCTTGAAAAGAGTTCATAAATTCTTGCAAACTTTGCAGAAGGCAAAAACGTCTTACGATTTATGAAATCAGTGCAATATTTTGGCAGAAAGAGAGCTGATCTGTCTTTCTTCACCCGTCAAACAAAATCATCTAACAGTGATTTCCTATCCCAGTTTCCTGCCCTTTGATCGACCTTGGTGGAGTATAATTGTCGGACCAAAGGACAATGGAAAGTCATATATATCATCAGTAACGTAAGCAATGTAAATGTGTAATTTTTAAAACCATTTTTGATTCAAGGAATTTTTTATTGAATTTGTTAAAAAATACTATGAAAATTTGATTGACCATCGGAATGAACAAATTGAATACTGGATATCTTTTTCATTTGCTCTCAGAAACAATAGAAAAATAAAATGCGCAATTAAAAAGTAGAAACTCAACAAAATGCAAAATTTAAAGGAAATGCGAAAGAGATATTTTGATTATTCATATAATAAAATATTTGAAGCTTTTCTTACCGATAAAAGTTCTTTGCAGCAAATTGAGAAATCAGCTTTAAATGGCATTATTATCAGCTTGTGAAATAATAATTATCACTGAAATAGGAGGGATTTTGTCAAAATCATTTACCGTTGAAGAGAAAATCATTCTCGAGCATTAAGTGAATATTTTTTACAATGTCCGCATTAGTTTCCTGTTAGGTTACTCTTTTCTATTTCAAAGTAGCAGTGTAAAGACGGAGGGAAGGGTAGAAATCAGAATGATTCTAAAACTAAAACGAATGCATCGCTTTCATTTTGCTTTATTTTGAGTTACTTCAACGCTTAAAAGCTAGTTTTTACTTTCTGCTGATTCTTCATGCTTTATTCTTTGCTAGTTTTTTCGGTTGATATGCAAACAAAAATAATTGAGTTTGAAAAAAGGTTTTGTTTACAATTAATATTGTTTTGACGGACTCCTCCATTCCGCGTTTTCCACAATCGGTTGCATCGTGACGATCTCTGAACACCCAACGTAATCGACTCTGAACGACCCAATCGCGATACCCAGAGGATGGGTCATAGCTAATTATTACGTCTGTTCGTTGTTTTTTACCTGCGAATGACCATTTATTTTAGTTAATTTGGCAACCATTACTTCATCGAGTCAATTGTCAAATTAGAAGTGAATAGCTAATAATTCGTATTAAGGGTATCCATGCTGCTTTCTCATGTCCGGACACCTTCCGTGTTGTCGTAAGTATGGTTTTAAGGATAAAACCAAAACAATTCTTTGTCAGGTATTAAATTTTCACCTAGATTTTGTCTCACTAGATTAGGATAAAAAACATATGCTATTACCAAACATACCCTAGGAGCTCAATAAAAATAGATTTCGGACAGTTTCAGCAACCCGAAGATTTCGACCTCAATATATACGACATATCGTAAATCCACGAATGCCTCCTTCCCCGTATAACCCCCCAACTTGGAAGTCAAATTTCTTAATACGCCCCCACCCTTAAAAACCCCCATCCTGATATGACAATTCTTGAAATACATTATTTAATGAAAAATTAATATGAACAGTTTTTTGGCAGTACATAACTTAAAAATGGCTTTGAAAAAAGCAAACACTTTACAACATATTGGCTAGAAGCACTCCTCAGAGCATAAAACGTCAGAATAAGGGTCCGAAAGAACAATATGAAGTATATTCTATTATGAAGTATAACCATACTCAACCATACTAAGAATATGAAGTAATACTAAAAACTAATAACTATGAGGTATATTCAAAATTTTGTCGTCGTCTGTGTTGACTTGCAGGATGTTTCGTTTCTCAACGTGAACTTCTAAAACATGAAATTGCCTAAAACTGCCATTTTTGACTTTCACTGAGACTTTCAGATAATCAATACAAACCCATAAAATTGTCCAGGGCCAATTTCTATATCAGAACGATTTGAATGTAAGGAAGTGGTTTATCGTGCAGTACACTTAAAATTATAAGGAAGGTTTTTGTAAAACGAAAACACATATGAGAAGCAAGATTTGGCACCTCTCTGGTATTAACAAGTTGGCTGAGCCCCAAGGGCCCCCTCTGCACCCTTGGAAGTTGCTAAGAAAAATTGTTCTATCTCCATGTCCTCATTGTTATACTAGTGCTCTGTTGATCAGCACAAATCTTTGACAAGAGCGAACTTAAGCATACAAAAGTAAAAATCTAAAATGCAATATCTAGCCTTCTCAAGATAATTAAAAAATCTACCAAAAAGTTTCCCGCAAATTTGGTAAATTATTGATCTGATTGAAACCGATTCCGTTATTTGAAAATGATTAATACGTTTCCAAAAAAATTGAAAGGGTAATTCCAAAAAGGATCGCGGTAATTTCTCTAAAATAGCTTTTATTTCGAAGAAGAAAAAACAGACGAATGGCGAGTCTGAACGAGTTTACACATGTAACTTTCCCCGAAAAAAGCTGTAATCTTGCAGCTCTTCTTGGGTAGGAAGAACTGTGGGCGTCTCTGCACATATCAAATCTGGATCTCGATGTTCGATATACCAGAACAATAACTAAATGAGTGCTCTTTTATTCAACCATAGTCAGAATTGTCTGAGACATTAGAAGGTAACCAAAAGTTGAAAAAGCGTCAAGTATAAATAAATTCACCGTTTGGTCACGAAAGGAACTTTTGAGTTATGAAAAGCATCTTGAACTTTGAAAAGAGTCCTACATCTTTTCCTATCCTCAGTTAACGAACTTTCTAAAACATAATATTAGTCTTGGACATATTCTTAAGAACTAATTTCGAGGTTTGTCTTGAAAGAATTGCTCCATCATATCATGTTCCTTGCCACAATATGCAGAATTGAAGGCGGCATCAAAATATGACAAATAACAGATTAAAAACATTCTTTGGATACAATTTAATAGAATATATAAAATACATATATAATATAATTTTTCATAAATACAATGTTACTACCCTTAACTAAGCTAATATATACACTTCTACCACCATTCTCGCAACAAATTCATTGCTACTACTAACAGGAAAAATTAGCTCATTATATCTTGAAAATATTTGATATTAAAAAAGACAATCAAATATGTTTTAAAAATACCCATAAAAAACAAAACTAACTCTTTTTTCATCTATTGAAATAAAGATCTTTTTTAGAGAGGTGAAAGGATGCCTTTCTTACTTTCTCTGCAAACACACAACCTATTATATTAAAAAATGTTCCAAATAACAACAATGGAAAACGATGAAAAATAGGCAAATGCTGTAAAAGATTTGGCTGGGCCAACATTTCTCTAATTAAGGTGGAGGAGGGATTCGAAAAAGGTCCAGGCTCTATCTTCCATCAAAAACAAATGTGCCTACTTTTCAGCTTGTTCAATCATGGATAATTAACAGCTTACACCGGTACCTAGTTCCCTGAGCTTGTACAGCAAACTCCATATTGACTTTGGTTTCAACCTGACAGTATTTTTAATAAACTGGCTAGACTTTGGGAAAGTCTTTAAACTGGCCGAATAACCAAAATGTTATAGCAAAAAATTTATCATAACTAATATTTAATATTGCAATTAATTTAAAATATATATTTTGACCATAACGAACGTAAATAAAATTGTGCTTATAACAGTTCCCAAAGACATAGATTTCAATCACTGACGATGGAAGACGGAAGTAAAGAGCATGGAAACCTTATAAAAGGGTTTTTTTGATTGACAGCAATGTTGACAGCAATGATTGACAGAGATAAAACGTTATGCCCTTACAAGATGTGCTTGAGCTCTACAAGCGAAAAAAACTTCAAAGTGCTTGACAATACAGTCAAGGTTCTCTCATAAAACTCTGCTTAGCGTGAAATTATTTTGCGAAGAAAATCTTAAAAACCCAAACACTTTGGCTTAACTTGAGCAAGAGAAAATTTCATATAATATATATATGTGTGTTCATATACAAGATACTTTAGCCACCTTTTGGTAGCAATTTATGTACTAATAATTTCGTGGTTAGCGCATGAACTCTGGGAGATCTACCAATTCGAATAACTGACAACCGTTTGTTGACAGGCTTTTGTCTTCTGATGATTAACTGGAAATTTGGCCGGGGCGAGTGATCAGGTGCAACCTCTGTACCTAGCTTCACCACAACGTTCTTTCGCCGCGTCTTCTTTGCTGAAAATTAAGTTCGCGTGCTCAAGATCTGTTTAAAGCACACAAAACACAGCGCAAGCTACACTGCTGTTACAGACGTTCTCGCATCATGCAACACAATTCAAAAATCATTCCCTGGCTGAACAAAATTATACCGTTCAAGTTTCGATCGAATTTTACAACTTTGATGCATAAAATTGTTGGAGAAAGGTCTTTGATTCTTAAAAACAATTTTTTAGCCTAACCATAACATGGCCATATCGTAGGAATTTTAAGAAATTGTCTAGAAAATAATTACTTTAAGGGTTGCTTCTATCGTTCTACTGGAGTCTAAAGAGAGCGACCACAGAAAATTTTAGAGCCCCCTTATGGCCCGGGAACAGAATTATATTTGAGGCTTGCCACGTTGTCAAATCAATAACGTAGAAAAACTGTTAACACGATTGTCAATGAAGCGAAACTATAAGCCGGTTCTTACATAATGTTTAAGGATGATAGATAAGGTATTCGGTAATAGATACCAACTTTGAACCAACGAAGATTAATATATTGGACATATTGTGGTATGAGGCACAGATAAGAAAAGTTTTAAGAATGATAAAAAATTGTGCAGAACCAACAAGAGTGTTAATTTGGAATAAAGTAAGACTTTCCCCTAGCACTTTTGAATCGAACTAGAACATCGACCATGTTTTACTGAAGTTTCCCCTCCAGAAACTGGCTACAAGTAACTGGGCTCTTTGTTAACCTTTTCAAGTTTAAAATTCATCAAACATAACTCACTACATGATGTGAACCGCCAAGAAGGTATCAATACTGATGCATCTGCACTTCAAAAGGTAAACAAAATTCAATTACCTACGTTTGTGATCATTGATTATCAGCTTGACTTTTGAATTTTCGTCAGAAACCACTTTTTCATTTTCGTCATCTAGAAAGGGGGCCAAAAAATGCTAAACAAGGTTGCGAACATAAAGAGACAGTCACATTATCATTTGAATCAATGCAAGAACCAAAAGATACCAAAGGTATGGGTACTATTATGTCAGGATTCGATTGGTTATGCAGCCTTGACTTAAACAGAGGCAACGTGGAACAAGTTTAGGCAGCATTCTGTACGTTCGGATCAACTCTTGTAGATAGCCACTTTGTAGAATGTAACAAAATAATAAAAAAGTTCTTCAAATTGATAGCAGAGGAAATTTTCCATAACAATCTTTGAAAAATCTAAAAAAAGGAAACTGATTAGCCTTAGTTTTTGTCCTTGATTTGCCTTAGTTTTTGTCCTTGATTTGCCTTAGTTTTTGTCCTTGATTTGCCTTAGTTTTTGTCCTTGATTTGCCTTAGTTTTTATCCTTGATTTGCCTTAGTTTTTGTCCTTGATTTGTGTACATAAAGTCTTACTGAAAATTTGCGTTGGATACGTTTTCAAAACACATATTTCCTCTGTCATCAACTCTCTCTCCCTACTTCGTTGTAATTACTTTTTTTGTCATTGTAAGTGAAGCAAAAGTCTGAAATAACGTGTGGATAACGAGTTATTGCAGTTGAAAATTCATCAAAATGGTGGATCCACTTGCCATATTGGATAATTAAGGAACACGCCTTTTGAGTAGATTATTAGCAAAATATTTTATTAAATTTCTTGATATATTAAAAGCCATGTCGCTTTAGTAAAACCATAAAACAGCTTTATGCGACGCTTAAGATCGGGTAAATTTCTGAATTAGAGAGGGTTTCTTAAATGCCATAAAGTAAACGATAATCATATGACATTTGCGCAAACCTGAGTCTCGTTCAGTGTCGTCATCTCCTGATCCGCCATCCAACTCCATTTCCAAAGGGTCATAAACCCAGCTGGACTGCTTTGGAACACGTGCTGCTTTTCCATCAATGGAGTTATTCGAAGCAGTTCTCTCCACGCTTTTAACTAAAGAGATAAAAAAAACGAATAGTGAATCATCGTTTCGTGTGGAAAGAAAATTTTGTTTCTACTCCAGATGTCAACGAAAGCTTTTACCTAGTAGAAATTATTGCTAGATCAAAAATGGGCAGTATATAACAACATCGACAAAATTGTCTTTTTTACTCTCTTTTTAGAACTAGCATAAAATCTTTAAAGAAATATTCAATGACCTCAATAAGGTGCTCTCCATTAGATTTTCCTGCAAATATATAAATTCAATAGCAGTATCCCTAACCTTTATTGTTGCGGAATTCACAGGCTGGTCCTTCAAAGCCAAGCAAACACTGGCATTCATACTTGGCAATGCAATAACCCGAGTCTCTTCTGCAGGATGGTAAGCACATTGATCCTTTGTAAACAAAAGGAAAACAATTGAGGAGAGAGTTGAAAATGCAAGTAAATATACCGGAGTAGTTAGATTAAAAGTATAAAACAAGTAATATATTCTTGGTTTGAAACAACACCTCTTAGTTTGAAAAAAGGGTTGTATTTTGCTATGTTAAATGGGGGATAATATCAGTTGGTCCCCAAAAACAGAACGTTTGACCGACTCATGGTGTATTGCTGCTTAACGTACATGAGGTAACATTGGGTATGTATTGTTCACAAAGCAAAGACCATTCCACTTCATGCAGGCTTTGCTACTGTACCTGGAGGTATTTCTCGAGTAACCGAATCTGAATTCAAATCACAGGCAATTCTCTCAACCATATCAATGTTCAGCAAAACAAAATGATATTTGTACATATCGATGAAACATATGTGCTAAATGCCATCAGGCAATTAAAAAATGGTAAGGCACCGGGCCCAGACAAGATCTCCACTACGCTAATTAAAGATGCCGCAGACTTCATTTGGAAACCACGGTTTTCAACTCGTCATTAAAGTATGGTGCTTTCCCAGATATCTGGAAATTAGCAAAAGTCACACCGATTTTTAAATCAGGCTCAAAAAGGGATGGAAACAATTATAGACCTATCTCTGTCATCTCAGTTTTTTCTCGGCTGTTGGAAAAAAAGTTCACGATCAGCTTGTTAAATATCTCATAGCGAACAAAGAATTGACTCCAAATCAATCTGCTTTTCGAAAACTGTATTCTACTATAACATCCCTGATAAATGGTACTGAATATTGGTATGACAACATGGACAAAAAACAGCTCAACTTGGCCGTATTTCTGGATTTGAAAAAGGCATTTGATACCATAGATCATGCAATACTGATAAAAAAGTTAAATGCACTCAGTATGCGGGGAATCTCGGGAGTATGGTTCACATCCTTCCTAAGTGATAGAAAACAAGCTCTGTTGATGCTCAGTTGATGGACAACAGTCAGGGGCTAGATTGGTAACATGTGGTATACCTCAAGAATCATGCTTGGGACCACTCCTATTTATCATCTACCTAAATGACTCTGAAAAGTACTTAGAATTTTCTAAGGCTAGCATGTATGCAGATGACACACATGCTACATTAACATCTAGTAACATTGAAGATCTACTTACAAATGCCCACGAAGAATTAAGAAACATCTCGGAATGGATGCAGATAAACAAACTAAGCGCAAACCCGAAAAAACTGAATACATGATTATTGGCCATCCACGGAGGACAAATAAAGTTGAAATCTCAAAACCACTGCACCTTAATGATTCAGTAATAAAGCGAGCTGCGAAGACCAAATCATTAGGGGGTTATGGTGGACGAAGGGCTAAATTGGGATGACCAATTCAGCAAAGTGAAAAGGAAAATTAACGGCGGTCTGAAGTCGCTACAAAAAACTGAAAAATGTTATTTCACAATCCCAACTCGACCATGTGTACCGTGCACTTGTCGAAAGCCATCTGAGATACGCCAGTGTTATTTGGGGAAGTCTTCCTTAATCAAAATTGAATACACTCCAACGTCCACAGGACAGAGCACGCTCGATTATTGATAAGGCCAGACTAAAAGACAACTGGTCTCATAACTGGCTGACCGTTGAGCAACTAACAAAGTTCGATCGATCAGTTATGATATACAAAATAATCAGCAGACAATGTCCCGAAAGCCTTTGGGATAAAGATCATCATAGGACCCAACCCTCCAAATACAGAACAAGGAATTGCAGGGACCTACAAATCCCAAGAAATAACCTTGAATACGTCAACAAAGGCTTTCACTATTCGGCGATATTTCCATCAATATCAGAGAGCTCTCTACACTTAGTTAATTCAAAAAGCAATTGAAAAGTTATTATACGAGCTGAACACTACATAAAACACGACTCCCTAGAAGAGCCGCTGCTATAAGATAGATTACTGTGCATAATTTAGCTTTAACTGTATATAAATTATATCAATGTAACTAGGGTATTTATTTTCTTATTTGGTATTTAGTTGTAAGCTGAAGGAGTTTTTTGTGTATAAAGAATTTAAAATGAAAAAAAGGAACACAACTTAACAAAGCAGTATTTTGAGAATAAAGCAATGTTTGCAAATCTCAGACAAACCTTGGCTAAGGTACAGCCTAACTGAGACGTCCTTTGTTCCGAATGTATTTGCAGCTAAGCAAGAATATATCCCTTCATCTGAATGCTTCATATTCAAAATGATAAGCGAACCATCGGCAGACAGCATAACGCGTTCATTGAACTTAACTCTTGCACCATCTTTCAGCCAGTAAATTGAAGGCTTGGGGTAACCATCTGCTTTGCATGGGAGAAGAACACTTTTTTCTGGGGTTGCGACGGTCACCTCCTTCTCTGGTTGCTCAATTATCACTGGGGTGCCTGTGACGACAGAGTATACAAATTTTTGAACAGTGTCTGTTGCTGGGCGATAGATGGACACTTCGGGATAATCGATTAAGTACAACATTATACACACTGCAATATTGAACAGCTGGGGAAAAAAGGCTCAAGAAAAGGTCATATGTACGCTCCGGGGTTCAGTTGAATTCGTTTTTTTCTATGAAAGGAACATTTTACACGATCATTTAAAAGCCATGCTCTCCCTCTCTCCTTACCAGTGTTCATATGAACTAGAGAGCTGCAACAGCAAAAAGGTTCAAAAATAGCTCAGGCCATAGTAAACAAATTAGTTGCATGCAAAAAGTTGATTTCGTGCGACCCATTTCAGTGTAGAAAACGATGGATGGTCACCAAAAAACATATAAATCCAGATTTGGATAGTAATTACCCAAATGGGAAAATGCTTAGCCTGTCTAATTGTGATGTAGCCATTCAGACTGTTAGACGGTCCCTTAAAAATCTTGTCTTTACTTTTCCATCCCATTTTGCCAATGGATGTGTCTCTGCTAATGTTATTAACTTCAATAATAAGATTTTCTCAGTACCCTGTTTAATAGTGGAGGAACTGTCCCTTTTTTAAAATGTTCTCCATTTACACCATCATCATTGAGTTTCTACCCATTACTAAAAAAACCTAGAGACTACCTGGTTATACAAAATGTTCTGCTGCAGCATTAACTGCCAAAAATGAAGCTTCAGCATTAACTGCCAAAAATGAGGCCAAAAATGAAGCTTCAGTTTCAAAGTCTATGGACGATAACTTTTATAGGCCAAGGTAACCTTGCTGTTTGTAGTTTTCTTGTTACTTAAATTTTTCCATAGAAGAAAATGTTATGGTGAAATACAACTGACAATGAGCAGTTGGTGGCAAGAGCGGTGAGTAACGGTCACCAATGTCAAAGCTCTGTATTGATACTACTTCGAGTAACTCATCTTGCAACAAGCAAAGCATGGGGGATGCTAGATTATTTTATCATAAAACTGCTATTAGTGCTAAACTTACGTCCTAATGATAAGGTTGCTGAAGCAGCAGCCGAACCAGCTTTGTTCCCTGCTAAACAAATGTAAGTCCCTTCGTCTTCAGGTGATATTCTGTTGATTTCTAAGAGACCATCTTGCTGAGCTGCATACTTATCGCCGTCTTCCACGTCTATTTTCTTCCCATTGTGAACCCACGTGAACACTGCTCCAGGCAACAATGTACATTTAAATGAGGTACTACCGCCCTCCAACACGTAGGTTCTGTTAGGCATGACTTGAACTTGGGATGGATCTGTAAAATGAAGATTCACACAACTCATCTCATAAGCATAAGAACATGAAAAGCACATACATCTTTCCTTATCAATAGACGGTTGTAGTGACAATGATGATTATGATTCTAATGATGATCGATAATAGCGGTTATTGTAATGACGATGAAGATGATAAATGACCAAGAAGCACATGAAAACCCAGAATAAAGGTAAAGGTTACAAACCACATGGAAAGTCTTCTTTTCCAATACTCATCAATGCCTTGCCCTTGAATCGCTCAGGAGCAGCACAAGAAATCGCAGGATGGACGAGTGTTTTTGAGCTGTTGATCCAGTCTCGCAACCAGAAGGCGTTGCAGTCACAATGCAGCGTATTACTTTGCACCGTCTGAAGTTTTGGATGGAACCGCATAAGGGACGACGGAGGGTTCCAGGACCTACAACAAATGCATTCCTTATTACTTCAGAATAATTCAGTTTTCTCTCTGTTTACTCATACAAATATTTCTATTAATCTACTTGAAAAACATGCTAAAACCTTGTAAAGGTATAAATTATTGGATCGAAAAAATTATACATAAACTAGATATTCCTAAAATAAAAGATACCCCCTTTTGATAAAAGGATAAAATACTCGAATAGAGTAAAACATTGAGTTAAAAACAGCAAACAGTTCGAGGCAAAATCTTACAAAAAACATTGTATAACCATAAATAAACACGAGGGCAGAGATTTCATAATTGTTTTCAATGTATATATCTATGCTTTTGAATCATTTCAAGTATGTGTCGCTTGTACTTACAATATATTCAAGCCATTTAATGGAGCGAAGGCACCTTCAGCAACGTAGCGTATTCTGTTGAAGTACAAGGTCCTGGGGATGGAAAGCAAAGACTTGAAACATATGACGTGTAAGAGAATCTTAGTATAGCATTAGCACTGGTCACAAGTCTTAAGTGAACGCGAGCTCTCTGAAGTTCGAAGTGTAAAAATAAGGATAGGTTTATCATGTCCACAATAGGAGATGGGACACTGCCTAAACGGAGGATGGCACTGACATATCAGGAGGAATGACCTGGAGACTGCTCGATAAATATGGCATCTTAGCGTCCCAGTTGAGAAGAGCTCGGCTAAAGACAAAGTATGTGATTCGAAGATTTCGATCTCATTCAAACTACAGTGACCCTACAGTAACGAAACATTACACATAAAGATAGCATAATTGAGCACGTGTATAGAATAAAAACAACGTTAGGGACGCACACAATTCGTAATAGTTTGAGCCTGGCCTTGACAGGAGGGGTTATTAATGGGGAGTGTGCAGTCAAGTAAATACAAGCCAGCACTTAAAGTCAATCATCCGATTTTAAAACGGGCGAATAAGCAATAAAGGGACATAATATATGCTTATGGTGAGTGTTGACGGTCTAAATCAGAAAATTTAAGGGATTTTAATCTTTGGAAAAGTGAGCTGAATTTAATGTGAGCTGAGTTGTTGATCGATTGTAACAAATTTTTCATAGTAACATGGGAAGATAAAGAAAATCTTTTGATTACACGGATTTTTATGTAGAAAATACAGTAAAAAAATCCAGTAAGTGCGCTTGCTGCTCTTCTTTGATCCAATCCACTAAATTTGTTTTTAATTGTGTGAGTTTTGTGAGTAACAGCTAGAAAAACTGTTTATATATATATCTTAGTATCAGTAAAATACGTTCTCTGAAAGTTATCCTCTTGCAAATTAGGACAATAAATGCTTCCGCTATTAAATGTCAAATTCCGGTGGCATCTGGCATGATTTTTCGGCCTTTTAGATCTTTACAACGAACTAGTCATCTAGAGCTGGCGGCACTTAAGCATCTGTTTAAAAAACATGACTATAAACCAATGAGTTAAAACGATGAATTTCCCAGAAATTATCTTTCTTACTTCACGATTGTTGTACGCATTTAACAGGGACTTACAATTTCTGGAGCAGCGCAAGTCCTTTGAAAGCATGTGCAGGAATCACAGTTAGTCTGTTTGAGTTCAATGACCTAAAAGAAAAAATCTCAACGTGATTTCAAATGAACAGGATTCTGAGGAAGAGTTTCCAGGCTTTGAAGTTAAATCTACGAAAAAATCTTAGAAAAACAGTTAAGAAGCAATTAGCTCCCTTGAATAGTATTTCCATCGATCATGCAGCTGTTCCAAAAAAATTATCTCTTAAATAGCTGCCGAGAATCTCTCTTTCTATGAAGTTAATTTCCTCTTGCCCACTATTCAGGATTACTTGACCCAGAGATTCATATTTGCAGTCCAAGTGTGTTCGAGAGAAAGACTGAGCTTTCCACTGGATGGGTTGGTTGAGACTTCCGTTTTTTTATTTTTAAATTTATTCTTACTTCCTTTATTTCATTGCATTGTCAGATCGAGTCCATGCATTGCTGTTATCATAGAGACCCGTCCTAAAGATGTGGGCATTTAAGATCCGCGATTACGCAAGTACCTTCATAACGCGCCTCCCCAGTCCAAGACGCGTGTTTTATAGTGCACCTACACAAAGCCTAGCCCGTAAATTGTGCGCTTGAATAAACCTAATTATGAGACTAATCAAAACAGCTATAAGACGTTATAAATGGACCAACCATCTGTTTTTAAAAATAATACTCATTCCATTAGGAACATTAACGAAATTTAAAAAGGTCGCGTCAAGGGTATACTGTTGATACTTCAGTGCACTTGACACTGCCACTCATTCCTTTCTTGTCTCGAAAAAAAAGTTCTCAATACCTATTTGTACACATTAATCTCTAACATGTAGCTTGTTTTAAATAACATCGATTGTTAAGCAAGGCACTTGATCTACCGCGCGTGATCTATCGCCAGTAATTCTCCCGCAATTAATTCTACCGCGAATAATCTATCGCGCGTAATCAACAACGCGCCTTCACAATATGGTACCGTTACGTCAGGAATGCAAAATAAATTTTGGCAAAATGCTCGAGATACAAATATTTAGGTCAATGATAAAATGTTTTACTTACAAACTAAGCAACACTGGCATTCCAAAAAAGGCCTCATTTTCAATGGATGCAATTCGATTTACACCAAGGTTTCTAAAGAAGATTTGCATGTAAAATTATAATTTCGAAATATACAACTGTTTCACATCACACATCGGCAAAAGCGAAAAAAAACATTGCCATCTGTTTACAAAGCGCTTAAAGGTTACATAATGGCTAATTTCCTTAAGCATAAAGTCATCGAATTCTAATATCTAATATCTTGTGATCCAGCTACAAAAAGTTGTGATCGATTTATTTTGACATTGTTAATCTTGCTATTGAGCAGTGCAAGAGAAGAGTATGAAAAAAGTGCTGTCCTTTAGCCCACGAATTATAACCTTCCACAGTTAAAAACATGGTAAATTAGTAAACAAAGTTTTAAAATAGTTGTAAAAGGCAAAAATGCATCAAAATACAGGTAAATTAAATGCATTTCAGGTGCAAAAACAACAAATATATAACAAATGAAATTAAAATAAAATGACTCACAGTTCAGTCAATCTATCTAGACCCTTGAATGCATGAGATGGTATATTTGACAGCTGATTGCGGTAGAGATACCTTAAAAATCAAAGCTGTTAAATTTCTATCTTTTGTTGTTTTAAGCTGTTTCAAAGATGTTGAATTTCCATAGAAAATATATTTTGAAGATATAAAAGAAAATAGTAAATCAATGCAACAAACAAGTGACCAGATCGAATAAAGATCACGTCAGGATATTTTGTAAAGCTCTGATAACTAGAAATGTTTTACACTAGTGTTAAAAGCTCGCATTGTTTTGAGCAGTACAACGCCATTCGAGTTGAAAAAATGCAGGGCTTGTCGATTCGATGGCATTCTACCCTCATATAATAGAATCATGGTAATCGAAATTTTACGTTATCAAACAAAGTAAAATTGATTTCATTCATTCATTCATTCATTCATTCATTCATTCATTCATTCATTCATTCATTCATTCATTCATTCATTCATTCATTCATTCATTCATTCATTCATTCATTCATTCATTCATTCATTGCATCTCAATAAGGAGCAATTTCTGTCCATGATCAACTTCAGAATCAAGTTAATATCTACGTTGCAACTCAAATCATACCTAAGCGTATTTACTTATTCTTAATTTCAGATTCAAAAAGTTAAAAAGCAGCTACTCTCCTGTCCTAATAAAATGGCAAAACAAACAAAAAATCAAAATTAATCAAAATTGAATTTCTGAACACACGGGAGTTTAATAAGTGTTAAAACTAGAAAAATGGGCGACAAAACGTGCGCTTTTCTCATAAAAGCCAATAACGGAATTACTTAATTAACTTTGGTTCTGACTTTAAATAATTCATAAATTTGACAGTGGGATAAAAGCTTTCATAAAGAGACCGGTGGAATAAATTTTCCTGACGGAAAACTACTTTTTGATGGCGAGTATACCCGACAAATAGACGCTTATACAGTCCGCAACTAATCAACATATGTTGATTAAGAATGTACCTTTCAACTAACCTTTAACTCAAATGACTTTTCTATTATTAATTTCCTTTCTTTTTTATACTGAATTTTTCCACTAGCAGCTAGCAGTTAACAAGTTTGCAGTTACATTGTCAATTTATGTTTTTAAACTGTAGAGAATATAAATCGATGATAAAAAACAACCCATTGTTACCGAAGGTCTTCCGATGACTTCTTTAGCCATGTAATAAATATCAAACAGATCAGACACACAAATACCTCAAAATAGTGAGTAGGAAAGACTACTTACAGCGTAGCAACGTTTTTAAGACCAGCAAATGCACCTTGGTGGATCTTTATAATGCTGTTATCTTCAAGTGTCCTACAAATTTAAGAAATAACTATTAGCTAAATTAGGACATAACTACGAAGTAAGGGATATTACATAACTGCAGGATCGCACTTGCTACTTGTTAGCAGTGTGCTTTCGCTGCAAGGTAGCCAAGAGCGAATCATGATTCATAAAAAGCAAAGTTTCACAAGTTGATAAAAAACTACTTACAAAATACGTAGATTTGGCAATCCACCAAATCCATTAGGTATCAGCTCGGAGAGTTTGTTTCCAGAAAGAGCCCTTGAATAATAACATAGTTGCGTTAGAATGCTAAAGTATTCCCTGGTTACTGTGGTTAGCAAGAGAAGCAGAAAATGCCTCCTGGAAATACCCATACCTCCAGGCCACTAATGCAACTTTTAAATTATATACCGTACAATAACTACTTTTGTGGAAATTTTCTCAAAGTAAAATCAGAGAGTCCTTCTTAAGTTAAAACGGCGACACCAAGGATTTTAACGAAAACGCCGAAACAAAAACGCAGATACTAACACGACCAAGGGCTACTGTTTCTGAAATCTCGATCTATTTGGGGTTAGCTAGTTCCCAGAGCATGTGCTATCTGGAAAACTCTCTTCCGTAAGTGTTGCTTGCGTTTCTATTTTATTTTTCTCGGTAGGCTGTGAAAATGTAAACAAACTAAGACTTGCGCTAGTTGTGTTAACACTGTGGATATTTTAAAGATTCTAATGCACTCAAACCCAAAAGACAACTTGTAACCGAATTACAAGATCCAAAAGTACTTTTGAAGGCAAATCACATATATTCTGTGAAGATATGCTTATCCTCAACGTCTTGTCTGTGAAAGTACCATGCGCTTTTGAGTAGCAGCCAACCATTAGTGGCTTTGCAAAGGCCCAAAGTTTGGAGATGCGGATGACATTATTATGAAAAGTGGAAGGATATAGGGAAAATGCTGAGAAATCATAATGACCACACCCTTTGATCGTTGATCGCAACACACGAATAAACATTGAAAATACAGTCAATAGGATACTGTGCTGCTATAAGCAGTAGATTGTAATCCCTACACATCGTTTTGTTACAGGTTCAAAAATAATAGGTGGGTGATAATGAGTGAGCATTGAGAGAGGGCGATGTCACTGCTTCTCCTTGTAGCAATATAAAAAGACTTTGCTTTTTTTGCTTAACAAAACGTGAAGTTATTCTAAAGATATCCAGTCATCCTTAAGAACTAAGACATATAGCCAATAAATAAAGTGGTTAAAGATGCTCAGTTATTCGAAAGTTAAAGGGGTTGAAAAAGTATCGGACCACAGGATCAATGGTCCCAAAAATATTTTTGGTCCCAGAAAGCAAATCAGAAAGCAGAACTTATACAAAATGATACAAAAACTCCTGGAGGAATCCACCCACAAAATCAATAAAGAGTAAGGGAAAAAGAAATCAATTAATCAGTCAGCAATAATCAATAAATAATAGCATCAAAAATGCAGAAATATTGGTGTGGGATGTAAGGTATTGAAATTGACAAACATTTGTGATCAAACAAAAAGACAGTAGCGTAGTGAGGGGGAAACAAGAGGGGGCGGAGGTCCACACCCAAAACGATAGAATATATCTTTGAAAAAGGGCATTTTTAGGCGTTTAAAAGGGTGTGGCTTCATTTTCCCCTCGTTGAACTCACCTTTGCCCCCTCCGGTCTTAATACCCTGGCTACTCTACTGTAAAAAGATGCTGCAAACTAGCGTATAAATTTATTAAATCGCAATCAGAACTAACAATTTGGTTGCTTTAGAAGCCAGACAAGTATACTTGATTTTACTATCAGGGTACTTTAGTCTTTGCAAAGTCAAAGGAAAGCTCTATTGTCTTCAGTAATCAAATGCTCAATAGACTCAATCTATATATGGCAGTTGTCGGTACAGCTAGTTTGCGAAACAGAAAAAACTGTTTTCTAACTGCGGAAGAATCTAAACCCGAATATTATGTGCATCGCAGTTATAGCTACACAGGGCTACAGGGAATGGAGAAATGTCGTCAAAAACAAAAGCATCAAGTTAAAACGATAAACAGAATTTTAAGCAAATAGATTTTCTAAGATATTTTTATGAAAAAGGGATTGCAGCATAGCAAACAGAAGGAAAATTAAATTGTTTTGAAAACTTGATGTTGTGATTGAGACGATTAGAAATAAGCCTTCAAAATTCATAGAAATTGGGTTATCGGTTAATGCAATTCCCACGATTTGTCTCTATCGAAAATAATAGTGGGAAGATATTCAGGCGGACCGCAAAAGTCTGACAAACGAGGCCACGTTGATGGGGCTTAAAGACTAACTGAATATGAAACAGAGGGTTTTGTGAATTGTGAGTGAGACGACATTGCAAGTTGCAAAAGTACGGAATGAAATGCTTGCAGAAAAGGCAGCATGTAAGAAAACTTGGCAACCTTCTTGCAAGAAATTCGTGTAATAATACAGTCAGTATCCATGAGTATACCGTTTCTCACATTCACTTGAGATCATGATCAACTAAAAGGCAAAATGAACATATTCAGAAAAGGTTTAATATAATCTCAATAGCTTTTCGTGAGTGAGTATATGGAATCATATACTTACAACTCTAAGACACCGTCAAGGCCAGCGAACGTCCCCTGCTCAATTCGCTGTATTTTATTACTACCAAGAGAGCTACAAGAGTACAAAAATGATTCAGAGATTTACACAGCAACTTTTACTTGGAATAAACTTGAGAAATGTTTTGATTACCACGGAAGGAACATACAGTGAACAAAAACAAAGAATCATAGAGCTGGCAAAATTGTCGTAAAAATATTTGAATTACTATTTTTAAAGCAAAAAAAGTGATGAACTTAAACTCACAGTTTCTTCAACTGGCTAAGTTCTCTAAAGATATGGCTTGGGAAGCTGCTGATGTAATTGTTGTTTAGAAACCTGAAACAGACTAAATCGATTAATCTTTAAAAGAGCAATCAGTACAATATATTATATAAAATACAATACAAAAATGCATAGTCATTGCCAAGACTATTTGCCAAAAACTGCATAATGAGGTATAGATTAGGCCTTGCGACCCTTCTGAATATTATTTACAGTTAAATATTCCTGATTAGTTTTTCAATTTCCTGATTAGATTAGTTTTTCAACAGTTTACTAACAATATAAAAAGATAACAAGTAAATAACAAGATAAGAAATTGTTTATCAAAAGGGATCAGATTTTCAAATAGAAACTTGGAATTTATCATATGGCGTTGATGAATAGAAAAAGGGGTGTTAATTTTCCTCAACAGTCTTCGTTACTTTGATTATCGATGATAAAATATAAGAAAGACACAAGGGGGTAATTCAGCGAATTCATTAAAGTTCACTGTAGCACTTCTTTTCGAAGAGTTTATTCCTTAATAATGTCCAGTTTTACGTTTCCTACAAAAAGTCCTTTCTAAAAAGAGCAGAGCAGAAATTTGCAAGATGAAATCACTTACAACTCCTCTAAACTCGCCAACCCATTGAAAGTGGCATTCGTTATATTTGTTAGCCTGTTGTATCTTATAGTCCTGAAAAGGAAAACAAATCAGATAATGAGATAACAGAAAGAGCTCAGCAACAATTTGTAGAGAAAAAACACCAAAAATCATACAAAGTCGGTCAAATGAGGCTGCAAAAATGAAGAAGTTTCCAAGTAGGCTTACACTGAATCAAAATACACTCAGAGCTAAAAAAGTTGATTATGTTTCACTTACAGTTTCACCATATTCAAACAATTCTTGAAGCTATTGTTCTCTATTTTCTGGATTTTATTTTGCTCTAGATACCTGGAGATTGAAGAAATCGCAACGGTTAGGTTGCATTGACAATAATCATGATATGATAAACGATAAAAATTTGGGGCGATCAGCAAGGGAAGGGCTTTTTTCGAATGGTAGCCGCCGACCTGCAAACCAGGCCTAACTCCAAAGGATAAAAACAACATAGAAACGTATTAAAATTCAGACATCAGAATATCAGATAAAGAAAAACCATTCCCAAAGCTATAGTGCAGTATTTCAAATTTTCAGTACTCGGGTTTATTTGATTCTCACAACATCCCCCTCTTTCAGCAAAAATACCAAAGAAACTTATTATAGATTATTGCTAAAAATAGGAATAAGAAGCAACAGAGAAGAAATGGTAAGCGTTCTTACAACTGCAGCAGACTGTTGGAATCGCAAAAGACTCCAGAAGAAATCTCGGTTAGATGGTTTCGATTCAAAGATCTGTAAAAGACGTTTTATGAATATATTTCAATGACCAAAAACCAAACGAAAAATGCACATGGTAAGTAACAGATCCTATCCTGTAAGGTAGCTTCCTATACTCAAGAAAGAACAATAGCAAAAATTACACGCTACATACCCCCAGCATTCTAACACGAGTGACGGGGGCTACAGCATCTCTACAAGCCAGAAACATGTTACAAAGTTTCGAAAATTTGGCTACTTTGTCGGAATTTTTCGAAAAATTTGATCTTTAGTCACCTTTAAAACTCATCTCTCATTGCGCCCTTAGCCAATTCAAAGTCCAATTCACTCTCTCGTCTTCACTTCAAACAAACAATACTTGAAATCTCCCAGATTCGATGAGAACATGTTGGAGAAGAGGTAATATTTCGGCAAGGCATTCCTTGATTTTGAAACTGCTTTTAAGTGACCAAACGCTAGTTATGGCCGTTCACAAATGGTAAAATTATCGTTCCCCGTTGGTAAAAGGGCCTTTTCTGACATTAAAAACGGGGTGGCCTAGACTTTTCATCTTTTTTTAGGGGTTTTATATTATATTAACCGAAACCAACTTACAAAAACTGGAGTCGACCCAATGGCGAAAACGCACCCTTTGGTATGCATCGAAGATGATTTTCGTGCAAAGATCTGCAAGAAAGCAAAAATTGATCGTCCGTTACTTTAATTTATGCCATTCTTCAAAATCTACGCGACCAAAATAACGACAATAAGAATTTTATCAAGATATTAAGAATGCTATAAAGATTCCAAATTTGTATGTTAAAGTATAAATTATAACTGACTGTTTAACGTGATATTTTATCAAAGATAAAAATTATGAAATAAAGGTCAGGTGAGCTGCTTGCTGTTTCCACTGTTTTTTTAAATATTCCATTTTACTTCAACATTCCCAGTATTTTTCTAGTTGAGAAAAAACCACCTAAAACACATTATTGGCTATTATTCAGAAAGAGGCCATTGAGGCCACTGCTGGTTAGGCCCGGGTCCTCTTGTGCAAGCTTCACATGCAATGCAATCGCACATCGGAAAATCAGGCAGTGACGTATAATTAGAAATGAAACCCATTGTGTGTACTTCATCCCTAATTTAATGACCCAACGAATGAAGCATACAATATCAAGATTTTTGTTCATAATGTTGGGGCTGCTGATTCTAATGGCATGTCTGAATGGCATGTCTTTGAACGCCTTCTAAAACGTCTCTATACGTTTCGACTACGTTTTCACCATGTCGATGTCAACGTAATCATTCTTGCCAGCAAGCTTAAAAGATTTTGGCTTTTCCAGAGCGTTCTGTGCCCTTCATGAAGCAACAATGTGTCGCCAATATCATACGTACATGTGGCAATAAAATGCCCTAACCACTTCAGAAACGTTCTCAGATGATTGAAATTTGAAGGAGACTAGTGACTGTGCAATACAGTGAACTTCAATGAAAGTGGAGCATGTCAGCACAGCCACAATCTTGTTTAAGTCGATTAATTAATTCCTCTTTAGACATCTTCAGTTCTTTTTAATCCTGTTCTTAAAACAACTATCTATGCAGTCTGTTATCTCGGCCCTGCTGGGATGCTTGAGTACTTAACTAAGAAAAAAGGTTTAATCATACTGGCGACCAAGAGTGAAAAATATTTAGGCCTAGCAATGACCGAGCAACAGAAACATTGAAGGCGTATTCTAGGGAATAACACAGCAACTTGCATTTCCCTCTGAAAAGAGATCACGTGCCACGGACAATAATTGCTATCGTACGCGCGATGCATGCTAAGGTAAAAACGGGAGAGGGCAAGGGCCAATGGTTCTCTCATATTCATATACAACTACCAAGGACAACACAAATAATGGCCTGGTGTCAGTTTGCGAGATTCTGTGTGCTCAAAAACATCGAAAAACTAACAGTAATTGGCTTTCCTTAAATAATAGTATTTTGTATCATAAGAAATCGACTTAACATGTCTCTTTACATCACAAGATTGATAGATGACTAGCCATGTATTACGAATCCACTGGTTAAGCAACGTTTCATGGTCATTTGTGAAATACAAGAGCCAGGCTTTCACAGTAATTAGAAATGAAGCCTGAGATTAGAACGGGATTTACCAAGGGCAGAATCCTGCTGTTTTGCCCAAGGTCACTAATAAGCGTTAGATAAGCGAATTCTAACCTTTCTGTCCAGATTGAATATCTACAAACTTTGCTAATGAAATTGGCGAATTAAACAAACAGCGGCCTAACAAGTGCGCCTGAACCCGTTTTGTGGTAAATTAGAGTTCAGCTGCTTGGTCGACATAAACAGAATTACTTGAAAGTTATTTTGTTAAGATTCTATTAACTGAAAAAGAATTTAAGCACTCTTATTGCGTATACGATCAACTCCCTACTTAGTCCCCTTACACTTCTCGTTTCGAAAGCAATAATTTTATCAACACTGCATTAATAAAGGATTTCAAACGTTAACATGTATTCCAGAGAACAACAATGTGTACAGGGAAGGCAGATATGTTGTCGAAAACTGAAATGTTTGGAGCCATAGTTTATAAAAATTCGTTTTTATTCAATGAACTATTCATTCGTCGTACATTTCTATGCTTCACCTTTTTCTAAAGCTCGTTAACTCTTTACTTCCCACAAAATGTATTGTCCCTTTCAGAAGTCAAAATACCTCAAATAAATGGTATTTAAAAAGCTGAAGAAATGTTTCAAAGCTTACAAAATTTTGAGTCGTCTGAGCCCAGAAAACGTCGATGTGTTGACTTCTTCCAAGAAATTTGAAGACAAATGTCTAAGAAAAAATAAGGCGCTATAAACTACTGTTGCAATAGAAATCCAACTGCACAAAATAGGCCCTTTGTTAGAAAAAATACAGAAACCTCGAAGAGTTAAGGATAATAAAGACAGAGTCCTGAAATGTTGGCCATCCTGACCGAGGCAAGCCATTAAAAACATAATAAATTTCCCTTCACAATGTTCTTCAAAATCTCTTAAAATGTAGGAAAAAAACTCCAGATTTTTGTAAAACTGATTGATAAATCCACACCAAATCTTTAATAATTGGAAGTCGAAGTTTCAAAGGCTTCTCCATCAAAACTGGCGAAATGTAACACCCATTTTTGCCTTCTTCGCCAGACTGGTTCAACATAAGGAACATAAATCTTAATGTCTTGAATCCGCAGCCCCTGTCCCTATTTTGGCCCCCTTTTCAAATCCATTTCTTTAAGTAGGCTGATAATGTAATAAAAACGGTTTCCAAACATGTTTTTGCTATCTAAAAATTTTCTTATAATAAAGGCTCCTTCGATAAACCAAGGTTAATTTAAGATCGTGATAACAAGACCCTTATGCTCATATGAGTATCCTAGGCTTTGGGTCATTGGTTGGGGATAAAACCGAAAAAGAACAGCGAAAAATATTCCCATTTCCTGTTCACAACTTATCCACAATTTAAAGAAAAAAATTCGGTTTGCTTAAGGCTGGTAACTTGAATCATTGACTACTTTGTGACAAATCTTTGTCTATAATTCCGTCCAAATAATATAAAAATTCTTAAGTGATGTGTACAACAAAGGGCTCCACAACAAAGCACAGTGTTGTCAAATTAGACTAGGCATGGACTTCCTCCGGCGGATGGTAAGACTTTCAAGATTCTAAGCTGACCGACACTAAGTATTACTTTTAATGCATTTCCGGGGAAAACGCCTGGAGAAATGTCCAGAAATATCTTCAGGCAAAAAACATCCAGAAATATCTTCAGGCAGACTTTTACTTAAAGGAAAACTGGTAGTGACGTACATAAGATGGCGGGCAAGGGAATGTTGTATTGAAGACGGGTAAGGGCCTCATATGATAGACTATAAGCCGATCTAGCCCCACTTAAAGAGTTGTATGCAATATCAAATCCATAAAGGAAGAGTTTCAGCTTCAAATATATTTTGAACGTACAAACTTTGCAGATTTGATAAATCTTTGAAGGTTCCATCTTCAATTTTTTGGTGGTAGTGACCTGCCGATAAATACAACAGAAATTATTGTTAATGTAACGAAGACTTTAAAAGTCATTGACAGACAACTCCTAACAATTGATACATATTCACAGTTATAAAAATACTCGCATAGATTGTTTGCTATTCGTGTGTCGAGTGCTTCATTGAGTAGTTTCCGCATATGCTGTCTCGCCCCTCTCTTTATTAAGTGTTAAAGCTTATTGCAGTCAAAACCTCGAAAGTGAGAATTTCATTATACATAGCCTTCTTTGTGTTTTTGCTTCTGAGTTCTAGCCACAAGTAAAGGCAAAATTCAAATTGTTTATGTTTTTCCTGTTTGTGTATTATTTTTACGGCACTTGATGTGCAGTGAGAATTAAGAAACTATTAAGGAACTTTTTGTACTACCATTTGATGATTTTAGGTCTACGAATAAGGAATTTTTGGAACTAGGCCTTGAGGTAGGTTACTTATATAAAAAAAGCGTGTAGCAAAAAAGTAACGAAGTAAATGTGTTAGGATTAGCAGTTAGAACTTGATGACGAAACTACACATAAAATAACTGATCAAAGAAATAAATATCACAAATTTCTGTTGAATTCAACATGCACAATTAAACCGAAAAGCATAGATTTTGGACTCAATTTAGCACAATGGGGCTCCATTCCAAATCATTTTCTTTATTTTAACTGATCATCACGACCTCCCATCAGCAAGTTCACAAGAGGTTTTTCAAAAACTCTTAAAATTTGTTTCAGTCTACTTAACTTCCGTGAATAAAATCAACATAAATTGCGGAATATAATTGTATATATCTTATGTACAAAAAATAGAATGAAGAAGTTAGTTATGTGGCAGGGAGTTTAATTGACATCATAAAATTTCCAGACTCGGCGTAACGTGTTTACGAGCTAATCATGGGAGCCAACAGCTTGGTGAGATGATTAATGATCTTCTAATAAAAATTGTTCTTAATATAGTTTATGGTCTGGTCGTCGGTACGTACGGTGAAAATCATTACAAATGGCTCTTTGATTATCATACGCAGGTGGTCTAACAACAAGGGCCATTCAGTTTTCAAGGTTTTGAGGACAGTTCTTATCGTCATACATTTTTCTTTGTGACTATGGCATTAGCTAGAAGAGCCTAAGAGATTTAGACTAGACAATGAAACAACAGAAATTGTTATTTCTATTTAAACGTAGAAACAATTTTTACAAAGAGATTGTGTCGGAGTATCGTATTTTGAGACCTGTGGTTTCTTGCGGAATTAATAAAAAACTTGATCGAAAAGATCAGAGAATTTCAACGGAAGAACTGAACGATTCTGTAACCTCAGAATACACTATACGATTTATAGACTTTACAAATTGCAAAACATTTCAATAATCTAATGGTTTAGAATGACGGCGATAAGGATGAGATATGTTTAATCAAATGAACAATGAAAACAACTTTGTAACAACCCTCTAATAAGAACTGTTAAACCTCCAATAAAGCATTAGATAAGATAACATTCCAGACTCAACCATAATCAATATTTCTAAAGCGAACAAGTCTGCGAAATGCTATGGATTAAAAGTTAACTTTGAAGTTGGCATGAAAAATCAGCCTTTTTTAGATAACCTATGGTTTTGCATTAAAGGTAAATTTGACTTTCATGGAAAATAAAATGTAAGCATGTACAAAAATTTAGATAACACATTTGTTATCAAGTATAGCCTTGGGAAAGCAGATACAATGATACAAATATTTTACTTACAGAGTTTTTAGTCTTCGTAGCCGTCTGAATGCATCCTTGTCTATCTTTCTGATAAAATTCTCATACAAGAAACTGGAAGAAAGTTTCATAGTTTAGAGAGTAGCTATAGGTGAATACAGGGACAGATTGAGGCAGCAAGGATCAAGAGGGTGTTAGAAAATGATTTGATTTTGTTGCCACACCCTTCCAGTAACTGGAAAATGATTGAAACATCCATTTTAAAATTCAGATTTATTTTGAAGGTAAAGAATAAAGGAAGATAACTAGAGCGCATTTTTTGCATCATTTTGTTACCACTTACAACCAAAAAGTTCTTTTTACCAATGAAGCAAAATTTACCAAAATATTAGGGGGTGTCACACCCCCACACCCCCAGTGAATCCATCCCTTAGTGAATGTGAACACATATGACATAAATACGGGAGTAATTTTAGGAATATAAACTTTAAAAAAGGATTCAGATATTTGATAATACATGATATTTCAGGCTGCAACAATTCTAAATAACACATAAATCAAATAGTCAAAACAAAATTCTCTGCAATTATCCATTCTGAACTCTTTGAATTAAAATGTGACAAATAAAAATAGCTCAGGAACTGAAATGTTTTTGAAAGGAAAAACAAGAAATTTATAATACTTACACTTCTTTGAGATGGTAAAGCCCTCTAAATGCATTCTTTGGGATCTCTTGAATGTAATTTTTAAACAGTATTCTGTGGTTGGAAGGAAATCAAAATTAATTTACTAGAATTAAAAATATGCAATGATTCAAAAGGAAAAGCCATGAACAGGGGTGATCAGTCTTTTAAAAAACTTTAAAACTTCTATTTCATGCTCCATCATGAAAAATTTTACAAGATCATAACCTATACATAATTGTTCAAGATGTATGAAATTCACAATAAGAATAGGTGTCATGATATTTTGAATGTGCAGCAGATATGAAAATTAATTTCTGATTAATATACTGATATAAAAATATTGGCAAATACATAGATAATAGATGTGTAGAATATACATGGAAGTTTAACTAGTCTTCAACGTGTTTCAATGACCTCTATAAATTTTGCCCATTTTCCTTCATTGACATTTAACTTAACCTTTACAAAACTCATTACAACGTCTGACAAGTTCAAGGAACAAATTAATTAAGTTTTGTAAACATTTAAAGATTGCTTAATTGGACTGGAACTTATCTTGTTTGACTGTATTTGTTTGTTGATCTTTCAGTCAAACTTTAATTAAAATTTAATTAGAAGATGATTTTCTCATATTGAAAAAATGTTTCAAAGTTGTTCATTACTTAAGGGCACAGTGAGCCATAGAAATTTAAATTTAACATCATTTCACATGAATTGAAAAGACCATATTGCAGTGAACTTTTGCCCAATAGATTTCTCTAATGTCACCTTTTTTGTTACCTTAACATAATTCAGGTAAAACTCAGATTCTGACTTAATTGAAACACAACACTGCCAAGAACCAGAGCCTATTAAGAGCCAGCATAAATACTCACAGTTTTGTCACATCTCTGGGCAAACCATCTTTGATACTTGGAATTCTAACAAGGGTTTTTGAAGAACAATCAACTTCAACCGTTGTCACTCCTCTGATCCATGATGAGTGGCACTTGCATTTTCTGGGACAGCGTGACCAAAGTGCATCAGAAGAACAACTAAGCATCAACAGAATGCAGTGAACTACCAGAAATTGCCATATTATCGATCTCAGGTGCATTTCCTTCATCACTGAGAACAAAAAATGTTTACAGTGAAACAATGATGCAATGGTCAATATGATTGAAATTGTAACATGACAAGCAAACTGGATTTGACGAAGAATAATTAGGACCTTCAGGAGACTTTCTGCTAATAATGGCAGCAGGTGACCCCTGAGCCCATTGACTAAACATCTAATTTGCTCTTCAGAAATAGAGACAGTGTCATTTAAACAAATAATGTGTGATCGAATAATAGGAAAATAGTTAGGCATGTTCTCTAAGTTCTACTGGTAAAGGTTCTATCAGGTTTCTCACAAAAAAACTGACAAAAGACATCAAAAATGGAATGTGTTATGCAAAGGAAGGCTTTAGTTTTTCATTTCATAATTGCAAGCATTAGCAAGGGAAAAGCATTGATCAAATGATGGTCTTGGGAGGAATTTTCACCAATCATTATTTCCTAATGTGTTATAATTAAAAATGTTGCTGCTTGATTGAAAAACTTTATATAGTAACCTGGATATTCAGAGTATTTAGTTGGAAACTGTCATTATCATGGCTAATCTGTATAAGCAAAATCCATGTGTATGCATGTATGGGGGTTTAAGAGGGTGAATGTGAGTTTAGATGGAAGATTGTGGGTAGGGTGAAACAGGTTGAGTTATGGTGGAAGAAGGTAAGTTCTGTTGAATTGGAAGAGGGTGAGTTGGGTTGGAAGGGGGTTTGAAGGGGTTGGGAGGGGGTTTGGAGGGGGTTGGAAAAAAGATGAGATAGGATGGGAGGTTGCAATAGGAAACTTTTTATCATAGATTTTTCATATTGGCCTTTGTCAAGGTAAATTAGACACAAAACTTAAATTGTTTGCTCAGAAAATATACAGATATCTAGGGATGCAACGAGCTGTTGTGTAAGCCCTAAGGGAGGAACTGCATAGATAATTTTGAGAAGCCCTTCACTACCCTTAGAAGTTTTGTTAGGGTGGAACAAAATAATCGAAAGACAGAATAAACAATTTATAGGTTCCTTGAACGGTTATTTTTAATAGCACATTTTAAGATAAACAAATGTTTTTTCATACCGGTATATAGTCCCAACAATTCAAATGTTTGGAGTCGATTCTAGGCAACTGATACTTTCACCGACAAGTACTTATCTGAAACAAAATCCTGAAATGAGCTACGGAAGGCAAGTTCTATATTTTTCTAAAATTGGTGACTGAAATAGGGCCTAGAGCCCGTAAGTAATGACATTTTCGGTTTATGCATGTCTTCATTTCCAAAAAAGTATCGATGAAAACCAGCAAAGCAATTCCACGAACAGTAAAATCACACGAAGAATATTGTAAATTGCTGTCAATAGATTTTGCGACTGAATATCGAAAATGTCTTTCTGGTGTAATTATTTCGCCAAAGGCCTTGGTTTGTGGCCTGACTTCTAATTATTATAAACAGACAAAGACTGACAAATGTAGCCTGTATCTTCACACGTAAAATAATACCTTATGAAGAATTAAAT